TTTTGCTTTTCCTTCCGTAACAAGCTGCCATGAAGTCCTCAAGAAGTTCTTGAGTCCACAGCCATTTACTACATGATAAGATTCCCCAGTGAAAAGTTATGAAATGCTAATAATAAATTATTTCAGATGAATGAAGTTTTATCTGGTCTCACTTGATGCCCTACTATAACTGTCCAGAGAGATTAAGTGATTGTCCAAGGTCAAATGGTTATTGTGTGGCAGGGTTATGAGGCCTCACAGAGCAGTGAACTGTGTCCAGGAAGTCCTGAAACCTCTGTATTTGTTTCCTCATCTACAAAATAGAGGGTCTCATGTAATAATTAAATGAGGATTAATACAATAAACACACCATAATTTCCATGAGATAGATTTCTCCCCTCTATAACATGATAATTATTTCTGTTAGTCATGTTTCTAGAGTGAGAGAAACAGACACGGAGAGACAGTCTCTAACATGACCTGCCTCCCACCCCTAGCCCCACTACCACCACCATCAGGTCAAACTGGGCCCACAGTGAGCAATCCTGGGCAGCCTATGCCAGGACTTTTCTCTGAGTCCCATCTTGGCTCTCTTTGCCGTTATTGGTGTGAGAGGGTGTGTTCATTGGCAATTGCCACAAAAGTAATGTGTAACACACCACCCTAAAACATGGGTTTACAATTCAGCTCCATTCCAGTGGCCAAAGCAAATCACAGCCAAGCCCAACATCAAAAGGGGGAGGGGTGGGAGTAATCTAGGGGGAAATGAGTTTTACCAATTTAAGTTTCCCCATGTTCCAACACTCGTCCCTGGCTTGTCCCTCACTGTGAAGTTGAGACAATGTGCCTATAGCCCAGTGAGATGATATTTAATCTGTGTATTTAGAGACTGCTTGAGCTTTCAGGTTGTGCAGATCTAAAGGATCCCAGACTCACCCAAAGATAAAGAAAACAGGATCCAGCCTTGCAACTGAGGGTAAAGTAGAAAGAATGAGCTGCACATGACTGCTTTGAGAAAACCCATGGCACTGATTTGAAAATGATACAGGTGAGAATGTTGGGTGTGAATAAGTTCCACTGAATTCTTACACGTACATTCTTGACATGAAAGGGACTGAGCTAGAGTAGCAATGATGAATCCCTGCAATTAAGTTTCCAGTTTTCTCCTTGGAGTAACTGGCCAGGATTAGGCAAGGAATCTGATCTGAAACAGAAGTTTAAGTTATCAGATTCTTCACAAGTCCAAGTTTTCCAGAACTTCTCACAAACAGCATTTCCAGGCATGTAAGTCTGAAAACAGGGGCTACATACATGCTATTTTAAATAATTCAAGAGCTTTTACCCTAAAGAAATGGATAAAATATCACTATACCTAGCCTCCCATTCCTTATTCTGTTTCACTAAAGCATCTTGATGTGAGAAATCATCTCTCTTGAATCCTACTCTTTTGTGAAAGGACTAATTTTGCCTTAGTTTTTGTTGAGAGAAGAGCAGAAGACAGATAAATCTCAAAGGATTTCTGTCAGACTTGCAACCCAAATCTGCTACCTCTTTGGTCTCCAGTTTTGCAGTGAAATACCCTGCCTGGTAACAGCTTCCTTCCTCAGGCTGCCTTTGGGATGCAGTTCTGTGGAAAAGGAACGGATATTCTGTACCCCTCTCCCTTTCCCCAAAGGAACAGAGACCCTGGGTGTTTTAGGCCACTTGTGGCAGTATCTCTGAGCATTAAAAAAGGCCCTGCTTTGTGAAATACGTCAGCGTGTGAGTGAGCTGGAAATGGCCTGCAGTTTTCCTGAAGCACTGCCCCCTTGTGGGAGCCTGTTGTTTGTCCGCTCAGAAATTGTGATCTATCGCCACCTGGTGGTCCCCCTGTCTTCGTGTCTTCGCGTTTGGAATAGCAAGCATTGGACTAAAAAAATTTGCAAACACAAATACTCTGTCCTCCTTGATTAATTTCTTTAATATTAGACTATTTTCATCTTCTGAATATCAAGAAGAAAGGGGCCATTTGATGATTATCTCAGGAACTCGGCACCGTTCGTTAGGAGAAAAGGTAATTTCCGGAGCCCTCTCTACCAGCATTTCTGGCTGGAATTCTGCCTGCCTCACCACCCATTTAACCCCTTCTAGTCTACCACGAGTGAGTGTGAAGTGGTCTGTTAGGGTGTCGACCTAGCCTTGGTCCCCAAAGAAAGTCCAGAATGATTTGGGGAACTGTTTAAAGTACACAAAAGCACCGAATAAATCTTAGCTCTGACTTAAGAAAAGCCGAGTGTGAGGTTAACAACGTTTCCCACAGCCCTCGTCTCCGGAGACAGACGTTTAAACGGTGAGCACTGCCATTTTTTTTTTCTTTTTCTTTTTTCTTTTGGTCATTAATTAGATACTTAAAATAGACCTTAAAGAGCCGTCTGAAATTAACCAACACCATGGCTCTAAATTACCTTTCCTAGAGTCTAAAAATGCTAAATGCGTCAAAGAAAAGGAAAAGACTGACGTTTCTTATTTACTCACCTTGACGTGGACCATATTTTACGCGTAAAAATCTCCCCCGTAGCCTGCTTGGGCGCCCCTTCCACGCCTTACTCTCCTCCCACCCACTACCTTTTTTTCCTTTGCTGAAAGGCTATGCTCCAAATCGGGTTGGAATATTGTTAAACCTTCCTGGGAAAGGGCACTGTGGTGGAGGGTCGTGTCCCCAAGTCCCAAGACATCGCTGACCTAAAGGAAGGTTGTCCTAGGCAGACAGGATTGAGTAGCCTGCTGCAGGCTTGCAAACTCCTGACCCCGGGAGAGACTGGAGGGGTCGCTCTCGCCCACTTTCTTCTGCCTCTGTGCGTTTTCTTCTCGTTTCTTCAAAGCGCTAAACCTGAGATCAAATGTAAACGTAACAGCTGGGCGGACACCCCTCCCTTCCGGGCCATGCCTTACCACTGGTTCGAGTCCCTAGAGAGGATAGCTCTTTCCACCCCCGTTATCCAGAGCATCTTCCTTGGAGAGCAATAAAATATAAAAAGAGTGAAAAACACAGAAATACAGATGCCAAATGTTCTGAGGAGCCAAAAAAAAACCAAAACCCATAACCACCTTCAATGCAAATTCTTTCCGGGCAAAGAGGAAGGAGTGAGATACTCCATCACCCCAGACCCTTGAACAAACACATCAGTTACTGCCGGGAAGGAGGTGGGCCGAAGGAGGTGGGCCGGGGGCGAGCGGCGCGGGTTGATGAAGCCCACACTAAAGGGAGGAAGGATTAAAGAACTGAACTGCAGGCGCTGTCCTTCGTCCTGAAAGAGCCAAGCCCTGCCTCCCACCAGGATGTGCGGGAACTCAGTGGCATTCCAGGCCTTCCCTAACGTAGCTAAGTCCATGTCTAGGTTGGAATGGGAGATAACTAAAAATTAAATCAAAGCCGAAATCTCCAAGCCAATATTACTCTACCCGCCTAGCTGGAACGTCAACTCCATAAATGCGGAGATAATATAAATGGCTGGGACGCTCCATGAGAACAGTGCCTGACACATAGTAGGTGATTAATAAATATTCGCTTAGTTAATTAATGACTAACACTTAAACATTTTTAAATTAAGGATGAATTTTAATTCCTCCCCTCGCTCTACGTAAAGGAGAAATGGAGGCGTGTCCTCGTAGCTGAATGGGCTCAGCTTCAATTTGCAATACATAAGTCTTGTAGGATATTTGTTACTTAACAAGACTTTTTTTTTATCGCTAAAACGTTAAGAATGAGTTTTGGGCACAGGGGTCAGAAGAGAGAGTAGTTGGAAATTTCTCGGTCTGATGCCACAGGTGAAGATAAACGAATCTTCCTTTCCGGGTAATCTCGAATCTTAGGAGTAGGCTGAGGAGACAAGGTGTGCAGGGGTCTTCCTGGGACAGCGGACCCCGAGGGGCACCGGGCTTTGTTACCTCCTCCAGCCCATCTCCGTCCCTGCGCGTCTTGAATGATTTGACACTGACACCGGGCTCAATGACTGGTGCAACCAACCGTTTTAGGGACGAGGAGGATACGTGGGTGGAATTCTGAACCTCACCTCGCAGTAAACCGCGCATTTCAAGTGTTGAAAAGCTACGCGGTGCAAGGTGTGAAGGGATGTTTCCTGTACTAGCACAGAGCTCTCGAGCCCGCAGCTGCAGTCAACGCAGGCACGCTGTTCAGGATGCTTCTGTGTCCTTAGAAAGTACCCGAGCTTTTGTTGTAAGGTGGAGGGAGGGCGACAGTATTTTCTTTAATACCAAGGTCAACGCAGGTACAAACCCCACGGCGAGATCCCTCTTACTGGTCAAGCTTTATCTTCTTACGCAGATTCTTCGATGTCCCTTACAGAATTCTAGGCGATTTGTTAAGATTTTTCTACATCCCCATTGCGTCGTGGAGAAAGGCGCTGGACAGTCAGAAAGGGACCAGCAAGCCGGCAGACATGTCCATAAACAACCCCTGCCTGCTGCACAGGAAAAAAATCACTGTGGACACACACACACACACACACACACACACACACACACACACACACGTTCTTGCCCTAAAGAATAGGTGGCTGAGGGATGGCTTGAAGGAACAGGAGGGTAACAAACGGAGCCGGACAGCCCCTCCAGGTGTTGGCTCCAGCGCTGGGGGAAAGACCTGGCGAGGCCAGGGCCTCTCGGTCTCTGGGCGCCTAGCGCCCTCTGGTGGAAATTTTTCTATGAACGCCTTTTTACGAGAAGGGACTTTTCAGACAACAGGAATTAAATATTCTTATACATTGCAAAGGAACAATCCTTAAAAAGTGCGAAATCGAAGGGAGTTGGCCAGGAGAGGCACGACCGTCCATTGCCCCTCCCCAGCCCCCCAGGGGCCACCTCTTGTGCACTAGAATCCCCAGTGTGGAGCAGCACTCCTGAGTGTTATCAACCTTCGGATGCAGTCAGTCAGGAGGACTTCTCTCCCCATCACCACGAGGACCAAAGCCAGGCCCTCTTCTCTGCCGGAGACAGCGGGTGTTGTGCTCCGGTGCAGTACTTCGGGGAAGCCAGGAGCTGGAGGAGGTCACCGAAGTGAAAAAGGGACGGAGGGGCTCCGGGGTCGCAGTGTTCTCCCTTTTTGGAGGTCTCCTTTCCCTTTACACCAATCCTGGCTCAGGGGAGCCAGCGAGGACACGACCCAGAACGCACTTTTGGTCAGGGAAGAGTCGCAGTCCTGGGGGAGTTGCGGGTAAAGAAATTGAGGCAAAGCTTTTGCTCTTCATCAAGATATGGGAGGAGGAGGGAAAGAAGGTAGGGAAGAAGAACCGCTCAGCAAGGCAGACTTTCTTCATGGGAATTATCTTTTCCCAGGTCTTACTCGACATTCTGCCTGTTTCAAAAAATAGACTGTGTTGAGTACCTTTTTCCTTTTCCGGGTGCAAAACCGTGATGTGGGTTTATAATCATCCTTTAAAGCTCCAGAGCAGATCGGGCACCTGCAAAGGAGCCCCGCGGTTCTGCCGACCTGCTGCCCCGCGAGCAGCAGCCTCGTGATTCCCCCGCCGAGCAGGTCCCGCCTCCCCACTCCGCCCCCGCCTCCCTCGAAGCCCAGCAGCCGCCTCTCCCTAGCGCTCTCTTCTCCCGGCGCTCGCGTGCGGGACGGTGCTGGCTGAAGCGAGGCGGCCGCTGGAGGCCGGGGAGATCACGCCTGCGGCACGGCCGGGCGGAGCCGAGCGGATAGCCAGCCGCTGCGCGGAGGAGCGGCAGGAGTGCCGGCTTGCTGTCGCCGAGTCCAGGGGTAAGCGCGCTGCTGCCTGGACTTCCTAGCGCTCAGCCTCCACTGTTTAACTGGTTCTTTTCATCCGCGGTTTCCCAACTCCCGCCCCCGGCAACGGCCACCTACCCTCCGGAGCAGAGTGCTCTCCGCCCGCCTCGGTTCTGGCTCCTGTAGGTGCGCCGCGCAGGGCCCCTGGCGCTAGCGCCCATCCTACCCCCACCAGCGAGACTCACGCCCCGGAGACGCACAAGACCGACGCTCCAGGTGAAGTTGAACGAGAACGAGTTTCCCCCGTTTTTCTGCCTGCTAGTGCCTTTCAGACCAAAGGGCTCCTGGGCAGTAGCCGAAAGCGCGACTCCGAGCGGTAACCTGTTACTTCCCCAGGAACCGCGGTCTACGCTCTGCCAGGGTTGCTGTACGAGTGCGTGCGCGGGGTGTAGGTGTGGGGTTTTCAGGGAGGGTGTGGAGGCAGTGGCTGGTGGGCATTACTCTTCCTGGTCTTAGAACTACCCAGACTGGCCCGCACAATGTCCCGGGGCCCTCGGACGCTAACGCGCCAGAGCTGAGAGGCGAGGAGGGTCGTTACGCACCGACCTTTGTGTGCCGCCTCTCGTGCGCTGGAGGCAAGTTCGTTTCCCCGGTGATGCCCCCGCTAGCTTGCCTCCCTCACCCTCTCCGGGTGTGCATGGCGAGAAATTCAGGGGCCTAGAGAGCTGGGTGGGAGGGAAACGTAAAAACCTGGGCTAAGCCTTGTCCTGGGCTTCGAGATGACTCAACGCAGGGGTGGGACAAAAAGGAGGGGAGCGAGGTTCCGACCGCTGCTTCCTGGCCGTCTGGGAGAATGGAAAGATATGGACCCCTTTTTTTCCTCTCACCCTGCTTCACCCAAGTTACGGGTCCCCAAAGCAGTTAGCCTCCTTTCCAGGGATTTAGCCAGACACAACAACGGGAACCAGACACCGAACCAGACGTGCCCGCCCTGCGCGCCCCACCACCACCCCTGCCTGCCCGCCTGCCGGCTGCTGAAAGCCCAGTGGGGCTTGTCCGGGTTGGGGGGGAGGGGACACGCACTGAGCCTCCCCTGCCCTCCTAGCCCAGTCCTACGTGCCCACCCGTCCTACACTGGCCTTGGGCTCTCCAAGATTCAGCGCTGCGCTCCAGGTCGCCCCGCTCCGCCGCAAGACTGGAAAGCCGCCGCGGGCGACGTTGCCGGCGCCCGGGCCCCAGCGCTCACGCAGACGTCTCCTCCTCCCAGCCGAGCGCCCAGACCCAGCGGGCTGGCTGCCCTTCCTTCCGCCTCCCTCACGCGCCCAGACCTAAAAGGGAGCGTCCGCGCACCCAGCTCAGTCACCTCCCGCGTGCCGGACCCCGGAAACCCTCTCCGCACAGCTCCCGTTTCTCTTTGCAGCCTATTTCTGCGCCCTACTGGCCGAGGACCCCGGTACGACCTAGCTGATGGCGTCTTCGACCCCTTCTTCGTCTGCAACCTCCTCGAACGCGGGAGCGGACCCCAGCACTACCAACCTGCGCCCCACAAGTAGGTCCTGCCCCAGTTTCCTATCAAATGGGCTGCGGGGAAAAGGAGGGCGCTGGGGCGTGAGAAGCTGCGCTGGCGGAGAGATGGGGGAGCACTGACATGATGGAAGCTGGAAACAAATGGGGCCCTGACCCGAGTTCCAGACAGAGGTCGTTCGACTGCCGCGGACGCTAGACGATTCCGGGGCGCTGGAAAATAGGGACCACAGGGCTTCGCTGCGGGGGAGGGACGGGTGGGAAGAGTGCTGGTTGTGTTGTGTGTGGTTTCTTTTCTTGGTGGGACGACGGGTGTGAGAGCAGGGAGGGTGTGAAGAGCCGGGAGCCTCGGCAGGAAGAGAGCGTCTGTCTCCGGCTTTCAGAGACGGGATGTGACCCCCTCCTCCCTTCCCCCTTGCGTTGTGCTCGAAGTCTATAATCAGAGGAAATTTCGACGTTAATTGCAGCTTTTAGGAAACTTGGGGTCTCTAATTGCTCCAGATTTGCGTCGTGCTATTGATGACGGAGGGAGAAGCCAGAGGCGAGAAAAGGTGCACAGAACAGTATGAGACTGAGACTCGACATTTCAGACAATTAATTACATCTCAAAGACGGGAAAAAAAAAAGGGAGCAGGCAGAGTGGAGAGAGGTGGGGAATCAGAAGCGGACAAGAAGGTTTGCCAGGGCGGGAGGAGAGAGCACCCCTTTCTTTTCTCCCGGGCAGGAGATTTGTCAGCAAATGACGGGTCCTGGAGGAAGAGCAGAAGAGGCGAAACAGATGAAAAGAGAGGGAAATATGATTTCCCACTCCCATCCCAACGCGTTCTTCAACCCACTTCCATAATTCAGATTGATTCTCCTACCTTTCCGTAGAGGTGTGAGGAAGAGGGAATTATTTCTCTTTTCCAATTTGGATTGAAATGCCCCCCCTCCTCTCCAAATCTATCAGCTCCAGATAGTAACGGCCCCAGAATTTCTATATAAGAGGAGTTTAGGAATAAAGTGGTTTAGGAAGTGGGCATGCGCTTTCACAGCACAAGCTTGAGAAAACGTCAATTGTTCTCATCGACGAAAATGCGGAATGTTAGCAGGTGAGGCCCCTCTCCAACTCCTGGGCGCTGCTCCTGGCTTCCGGGAGGCCTTGTCTTTGGTTCTTAGGCTGCGTTCCAGTTCCCTTTGCAGCTTCCTCTCTCCGCAATTAACCACACAACAAAGAGGGACTCGGGACAGCCGCCAGCCCTGGTGGCACGTGAGCCAGGCACTGGCCGCATTGCTGGCCGGAACGGGCGGGGAGGAACACGAGGCCACGCGCCTTTGTCTTTTGCTCTGTCCCGGATGGATTTCTTTTCCCTTCTCTTTACGTTTCCGGCACCTTTTTTGCTGCCTGGCGGGGTGAGCGGCCACTCTTGAGTTCTGCCCTGTGCTGCAGATCCGCGCTCCCACTAGTCGGCGGCAGCGGTTGGTGGAGCGCATGTGCCCAGACTCAGGTCCCAGACCCAGTAGAGGCGCTGACCTGAGTTCGCACTTGTCCTCGCGCGTCAGGAAGCAGCTGAGGCAGGGCAGGGGTGGTGGGGGAGAGATAGTCGAGGACCCGTCTGGGAAGAGCGTGCAGCACCTGGCCTGAGAATGCCGCCGCCAGCTCCCTACAGCACATTTGCGGCGTGGGCATCCCAGGCTGCAGGCTCTCGCCCCCTCTTGCAGGCACACCCTCGCCTGTCCGGCTGGCTCTGCTTCTCTGTCCCTCGAAGATCCCCTGGGAAGTGGCCCTGCTCAACCCGCACAATCTTTCTCTGCCCCAGCGACCCCTCTTTGCCTACCCGCACTGCATCAAAGGGGCTCTCTCACTTGCTCTCCCCATCTCGCTTCCCCTTTCTTTCACTGTAATGCCCAACTCTGAAAGTCCGTGCAATGGGTCTGAACTCCAGCGCCCCAGCTGAGTGACCTTGGAAAACTCGCTTAACCTCTTTGATCCTCAGTGTTTTCATTTGTAAAATGAGTCTTGGATCAGCACTCCTCTTGCTTCTTCATAGGCCTGCGATGAGGATTAGCCGAGAGGGTGTTAAAAATGAAAGCACTTTATCAGGTAGAGATAGCTCGTTAATGCCGTCTATTATTATTAGGGTTTTGCTTTCACACCGATTCCCCGTCTGTCTGCCGCAGGAATGCATCTGTAACACGCTGTCTCACTGACGTCGAGCTATTTCTTCTCCCGCTGAGGCTCTGTTGTGCCTCGGGTTTAATGGATGTCACTCTCCTTATCGCAGCCAACACTCGCGCTGGGCTGAATTCAGGCACCTGCCAGGGTGGGTTGGGGGATGGGAGTGATCGGAGGCGCCTTGCTGTGAGGGATCTGGGAGGGCGATTGCGTTAGGCCCACCACACAGTCTCTCTGGTGGGCTCCCCCTGCTCCTTGCTGGAAACTGAACACCGAGAGTAGGATAGACCGTGAGGAGTTTGAGAACAGCCTGGTAAAGAAGGAAAATAACGGCAACGCCTGGGTACGCGATTCGGACCCAAAGGAAAGGTGCCCGATTCCCTTCCCCTTCGCCTTCTCCAGACCCGACACGTCCGAGAGAGGGCTTAATGAGGGGCAGGTTGGGATGAGGGGGCGGGAGATGAGGACCGGAGGCTATTGTTTCCCGACTCGCGGGTCCGACTGAAGAGCAGCCATGCGAGCCAGATCATCTAGTCAAATACTATTTTTCACCCAATTAATTCTTGAACTCTTCGGCGACCCCATTTCATGCCAGTTTATTTTAAGCTGCCACTCGGCTGGAGACCCGCCAAGAAATTATGAGACATTTTGGTCCCAGATGCCTCTGTGTTCCCTTTCCGGGCTGCTGCGGCCGCCCTTCGAGTACGCGGGGCGGAGACCAAGGGACAGCCTGGAGGGTGGGTGCTGGGCAACTCGGGCAGCGGGGTCTGGCTTTACACTTGGGGTCACCCCTGCCCCACTCCTGCCCTTCCTCCGGGACTCCCCCGCCGGGGTCGTTTGGAAGCCCGGCTGATCGCTGAGCTCGTGGCCTCTCAGAGACACCGTCTGCACATGAAGATGGGAGCAGTAAGGGACTGTGACAGGGTCGGAGGGCGGGCGTCTGTCGGTGGGCCCACAGATCTGGCTCCTTGCTCCTTTCAGGAGAGCGCTTTTAAAGACCTGCCATCTCCCCAGAAAATCTTTGCCCTTAACCGGGTCCCCCACGGTCCGAGCCTCACTAACAGCACCTCTTTGCCTTCTAGCATATGACACCTGGTGCGGCGTGGCTCATGGATGCACCAGAAAACTGGGGCTCAAGATCTGCGGTAAGTCAGAGGGCCCGGCAGGGCGGCGAGGTGCGTGGACTCTTGAGTTTTGGGGAGGATGGGACGCACGCTAAGGAGATCTGGCTCTCGGATCTGGTTTTCTAGCGTACCTACAGTCCCGACGCCCTGCGCAGACTCTCCTCCACCGGTCTTGACCTTAGCCCTCTCCTGACCCGGCCAGAAGGGACCATTGCGCCTAGAGCCCTGGACAGCTAGAGACGGCGGGGCTCCTGTCTGGGCGCGCGACAGCAGCGCGCCCCCGGACGGCAGCCCTGCTCTTCTTGCCCCACTTGCGCGAACGGTTCCGACCCTTATGCTGACCTGCGTCTCCAGGATGGTGTAGAAAAGATGAATTGGTCGGGCCTTCCTGGGAAGCAGGCTTAAGGCGCCGTATTTGCCTAAGGTAGTGACTGGCAAGTCGTCCTTCTTCCCTACCCACCATCGCAAGTTGAGACTGGCCTCCCAGGCGTGAGAATTTGCCCCCACAACGGATTCGGATTTCGTTCTTTGGGCCCACCCTCCGAGGCCAAGAGGATTGCCTGCTGCTCCCCGTACACGGCTGGGGAGGCGGCGCAGGCCCGGGGGTTTGCCGAGCTCGTCCTTGAAGAAAAAAGGGGCAGGCTGGGGTCTGCAAAGGAGAAAGGAGGTGTTGGGCACGCTTTGCCAGAGAGAAAGGAAAACGGAGCTGGAGAGAAGAAAGAACTGCTCTCCTGACGCGCGAGGGTCTGAAATGAAAACACCCAAGGGATGTAATTTTTTTAAGGAAAAAGGGGATTTGTGCGAAGGGACACAGCTGAATGACTCCCGCTGAACAATGAGGACCTGCTTTTCTTGCTACATTTCACCGTCTAAAATCTCTAGCCTTATCGGGCCAGAAAATACGGACGTCCCCAGGCAGTGGGGGGAGAGGCGGGGAAGATGAACGAGGGGCTTATTGAGGAGCCATCCCTCGGCTGCTGCGCGGGGCAGATAGCGCCCGAGCGTGCGCGGGGCCCGCCCGCCCAACCCCCGAGCCGCGGGAGGCGCTCTCTGGACCTGACCCCCCAGCTTCCCCGCGCCCCGGGCCCGAGGAAGGCGGCAGTTCGGGGCCGGAGCAGAGCGAGGGGAGTGGCGGCTTCGGGAATCGCTATCCCTCCCCGCCGCCCCGCACGGCCCCCTCCCAGCGCTTCGGGGCTCTGGGACCCACGTCCCGGAAGCAGCGGTCACCGGGAGGAGGGGTTGCGCAGCTGCTTACCTAGCCATCTTCCAGGGCGGCCCCGGGCTTGGGCCCTCTCCCCGGCCCGCGAGGTCCGCGGGGCCAGGCGGGGGCAGCTGGCTGCAGCCACGCTTTGTTCTGCGAATAGCCCCCTCCCCCAGCCGCCATCCCTGCTTAATGTCCTGTTTCGCGCCAGGTCCCTTCGGCGGCCGCGGCGCTCGGCTCTGCAGCCATCATTGTCATGCGGCCGGGGAAGCAGAACTGAGCGAGCCCCGGGCGCCCGCCGCGGCCGAGGGGGAGGGGGAGGGCGGGGGGCCTGCTTCCGTCCTCACGTCCTCCGCCAGGTCTCCCGCCCAGGGGGTGCCCCCTGCTGCCCCGGCTGTAGGCCCTCGGAGTCCGCGGAAAGAGAAGGTCCTAGCCCCCTAACCCGCTTCGGGAGACACACCCGAAGTGTCCCTAGGAGGTAAAGGGGCTGGAAAGAGTTGAGCCTCGCTGAGTCCGGAGTAGGGGTCACCGAGTTTGCAGCAATTTCTCCTGAGAGCTTTGGGCATTTCCTGGCTGCCATCCTCAGTTTCTTCTCTGTTTCTACCTCACCCCTGTCTTTAGAACACAAATTTCAGGAAAACTGCAACCCAAGTGACAGTAGAGGGCTAGTAGTCTGTTGTGGGGAAATTGCCTTTTGCTAAAATGCATGCTTTTGGGGCCACCAATTAGGAGGCTTCACATTTGGTTTGATTTTGAAAGGAAACAAAACACCAGGAGGATTTATTTTTCATACTTTGGGCCAACTCTGGCTTTCTGTTTTAATCTAGTAGACGCAAAGTGCAATCTTCAGCTTTGACCTGAATCCAAAGTCCTCCTCCACCCACAGACATTCCCCCTCCCTTCCTCCCAGATTGTTATGGGTCTGGAGGTCACCCTCTTGACCCGACACTGTCCAGGTTGGTTTGACCTTTCAGCTTAAGACATCAGAGGGACTTCTTCCCACCTGCGAATACATAGCCTAGGGTGACCCCTATAAACATCTTAAGTGCCTTGCCAAGATTCAACCCCCAACCCCTTCTATACCCCTTCACTGGCATCCAGGGAATGAAACTCCAAGGTAGGCGTCTCACCAGTTGTACCCTTAGCTCTGGAGGCAGAATCTCCTGGGAGAATAATCAGGTAGAAGAAACCCAGGGTCTTGCCAGGATTTGGAGAGTGTGGGGTGACTGTAGACATAGGGGCATGACTTAAATAGAGTTAAATAGAGAGTCAAGGAGCCTTAAGTTCTGACTCTGAGTTCCACTAACTTCACAGTGTGTTCTTGGGCCTCCATCATTTATGTATGCAGAGATCCCAAACTGGCTGCCAGTTACAGCTTCTGAGGTGTTTAATTTAGCCCAAGCAATGTGTGTAATTTTGCATCGGGTGTCCACTGTTAAACATAGATTGCATATATTCTGTATTCCTGGATTCTCTTGAAATTAAAAAGAAAGGCCAGGGGAGATCTAGCAGGGTATCTTTAGCTCACAAAAAATCAGAAAAAGAGCCCCTTCGTCTAGGTAGATGCAATTCTATGCTATAGCTTGGTGAGTGAGAACAGGGTATTATTAGTCTTTAGTCTCCACTTACCCCTTTGGCCATGTGCCCTTATGCCATGCACAACTCCCAGACCCACTTGGAAACAGCTGGCTCCAGCCAAGTGTCTTCTAATTCCCCACTCTCTCCCTCCCCCACCATTCATGGGGCTCCTCAGGCCTTTGAGTTTGGAGTCAGGGGTGCGAACCAGCAGCAGCTCCCCACAGCCACAGGTGGAGTCACAACCAGCTTTCCCCCCATTCTCACCTTGAAGCTAGCGGAAGTGCAGCCTGGCCAAAGCCTACTGCAGCTTCGGCTTTCCTCCCCTTTCTTCGCCTCTTAAGAACATTGAGCTCTGTTACCAGTTACTCAGTCTTAAACTGGGTCCTCACAGCTGGGGTGTAGAACAAGAGGGATAGTCTGCTTCAGTTTCAGGGATCCTTGCTTCCAGGACCCATTGCTGGCCAGGAAAGTTGTCAAAGCAGTGATCTCAGTGTCATCTACCACCTGGTCATCCTCGGAGAAGCATACAGTTCTTCCAGGGCCTCTCAGGGCCCAGAGAGGCCTGGGTCACTTACTTTTCTTGAGGCTTCCAATGTTTTAGAAAACAAACACCTTCCAAGAATTGTTATTCCAGTAACAATAAACATTAAATGTTTATATTAGCAAAATAATGGTTTTTAACACAAACTATAATGCAATGTAAGTGCTATTCATAACAGAATTATAGAATTTATAGAAAATACTGATTCCTAGTGCACTTCAGGAAGTCCAGAAAGGGGATGCAGATTTAAAGTTGTGTTGTAATTTTAATCTCTCAACTTTTTTAGGACATGTCTGGGAATGCCTGTGTCAAACTTCATTCAGAGATAACATCCAAAGCCTAAACTGAAGTCCTAGGCCCTGCAGCTGCCCAGCAGAAAGACATTTCTGAGGGGTTTAAAGATAGAGAGACCTAAGGGTTTCCCAGGAAGTGAGTCAGAGCAGAGTAGAGGTCAGAGATCTAAAGAGCCAGAATTCAGCTGGGCAAGAACTCATCTTCATTAGGCCACAGGGATTTGGTTTCTTCAGGCTGTCAAGTTCTCACTGTTCTGGGAGCAGGAGCGCAGACTCAGAATTCCAGAGCCAGGTAGAGCCTGCATCCTGCATCCCTCTAGCAAATTAGTGCTAGCTCCTGGTTTTGGACTCTGAGGATTTAGAGGAGGAATTCAGGAAGTAGGAATAGAGGTCGGAGAAAGGATACAACCCCCATGTTTACATCCACGTATGAAGATCAATTTATAGTGTATTGCCCCCTTTCTGATGTTCTTTATGGCTTTAGTAATAAGTTTACAAGGTGCTAGGAACAATGAAAGGCCCAGTGCCTCTGTTTTCCTATTCTTTCCTCCAAAAACAGACCCTGCTGCTCTGTGTGGTACGATTCTAACCACCTCAGTCTTCTCCCGCACCCCTCCTTCTCCATCCCTCGCCACCCAGTTGCGGTCCTGGAGAAGTAAAGCTGAGTTCCCCAGATCAACTTGCTTTTCCTTGAACCTCACTTTCCGCCAAGCCTGCCTTGTGATTGTGTGTGTGTGTGTGTGTGTGTGTGTGTGTGTGTGTGTGTGTGTGTGTAACTCCCCAGGTATCTCAGTATCTACCGAAACAGCTTTGGAGTCACCAAGAAGCTTAGAACTTTCTTCCTCTTTTCAGTGTGTTGCATTTTGGGCAAAGATGGGAGGCTGCATTGAAGGAGATGCTGAGGGGAAGAGCTCCAGAGGGGACAGGTGGAGGTCCTGAGGCAAGGAGTGTTCTCCCAGTTGGCAGTCCCCAGCCTTTCTGGCCCAACCCGCTCCTCTGCTGCTGCTGGTGGTTGCCCTGCCCACCTCAGGCAGGACACATGTCCATTCCTTCTGCAGGGCAGAAGGAAGGTGCTGTGAATTCTGCCCTGGGCTCGGAATTCATCTCCATGGAGTCTTAGGTGGCTCCCTAGTTGCATTGTGCCAGTCACCACGTGGCAGACCACACGCTCCTGGAAGGCAGGGATCTTATTTCTTTTTCTCTGTTCCCCATCTGAAATGCTTAAAAGATCTTTTCCACAATAGCTTCTCAATAAGTATAGAATTAAATGTCAGCACACATAAGATTGTAGGTCTTGTCTCTTTCCCCAACACCTTTATTCAGAGAGGAGATGGTACAGGAAAAGTTGTACTTCAGGTTTGACTCAGAAAAATTACACTACATTCAACTCTGTGAATGTTACCTGGTGCCCAAGGAAAGCATCTTGTCCGTCCACTGCTGGTCCTCCGCTGGTCCTCTGCTGGCCCTCCCCCTCCCGCCTCTGCCGGTCCTCTCCCTGTCGTCCCTCTGGCAGCATCCTCTCTGACTGTGTTCCTTCCCTTCAAACCCCATCGTGGGTCTGATTACTGGAGTGGAAGCTGTCCAATTGACTTAATTCTGAGTTCATTGTCGTGTTCAGAGAGGAGAAAGGGCTCTGCTTACTGTTGCGTGACTGGGTCTGTGGTACTAATGACACTTGGCGCTGCTCGTTCCCTGCCTGAAGGTGAGCCGTGCCAGAGCCTGTATTTGTAAAATGCAGATACTCAACTTCTTCACAGGAGAAGCGAGAACCCTGCTTGGGAAGTCGACCTGGCCCAGGAACTGACCCTCTGAGATTGGGAGTTCAGTGCCCTCCTCTGACGCAGCTTCTTGTGCACAGGCCTTTTGCAGAGAACCAACAGCCTGGAAGAGAAGAGCCGGCTTGTGGGCGCCTTCAAGGAGAGGCAGTCCTCCAAGAACCTGCTTTCCTGTGAAAACGGCGACAGGGATAGCCGCTTCCGGCGCACAGAGACGGACTTCTCCAACCTGTTTGCTCGAGGTAGTCCTTCCTCTGCCCCCCAGCCCCAGGTTTCTCCAGCAGGTTCCTTATTTGAGTTTCTTAACTTTTTTTCTGAAATTTTACCTCTTTTAACAAACATGTCATTATTCTCTCTGAACCATTATGAAACTGCTTTTCCAACCCTTGATATAATATACTCCCTCATTCCCTACTGTTCAGATCTCTGTCATTTTAGAAGCTGAATGAGGGTAGTCAATAATACAGTCAACTATAAAGACACTTGCAGGGACAAATATGGCTTCATAGAATCTCAGCATCTGAAGGAATCCTACATATAAGAAAATCCAGTGATTTCCTTAATCGCATTTATTCTCAAGGCTGGCAATAGTAACCTGATCACCCGGTGGGAAGCTGTGTAGCTGGGCCTAAGGACCAAGTACAGTCCTGAAACTCGTTCTCCTTTTGGAGATCTTTCACTACTTACCCTCACACTACTGGTCTCAGAAAAAGAGACACTTTCTAGTGTCTCTCAAAGTGCTCAGAGGAAAACCCACAACCCGCTTTCATTAACACCACACAGAGGCCCCACCAGAACACTAAACAAGGCTTCAGTGAGCCTCTGGGGTAACCTAGGGAGTAGACACAGAGCACCAGGTACAACCGATCTGCTCGTGCACTGTGGCTGACAGCTTCAGCTGGGGCTCCCTGCAGTTGTCCTCCCTAGTTAACCCCCCCCGCCCTGACTCTGCCTAGCAGACGCTAGAACCCAAAGTCACCTCCAGATTTCCCAAAGTCCAAAAGCAAAAGCATGAGGTGAGGAGAGGCAGGAGTTTCCTCTCTCACATTCCTGAGCCCCATCTTCTTGTTTCCTGTCTAACAACAGCACAAAGGACTGCCCTCTTCAGAGGGACTTCAGCCTCTGCCCACAGAGGCCTTACCCTCTGCCATCAATAGATCAAGCACATCATAATGCCAAACCAAAAGCCGGGTGTCGGAACCAGATGCACAGGGACACACCTGGTAAAGGGAGCGAGACCAAGGCCTGCTCCACCACATATCTGGCAGGTGCTCAGTCAGTCTGCAGATGGCTAGCAGCAGTGGCAGGCTGCTCATGGATTCTCAAAACACTGCATTCCATTTATGAGCAGCCTAACTATGTTTGTAAAAACCCCAGAAAGTCTATGCAAAACTTCTGTGTATATGCATATGTGCATTTTTCTGGGGAGATGGCACATCAGATTCTCAACATGAATGCATATCCTGAAATGAAATTAAGCCCATAAAGATATCATGGCTGATATTAGGGATTTCTGGGCTGAGGAAATCCAGATATGAGTCAGGTGATACTTACTGTTGGCTTTTCCCCCTCAGATCTGCTTCCTTCTAAGAATGGGGAGGAGCAAACCGTGCAGTTCCTACTGGAGGTAGTGGACATACTTCTCAACTATGTCCGCAAGACGTTTGATCGCTCCACCAAGGTTCTGGACTTCCACCACCCACACCAGCTGCTGGAAGGCATGGAGGGGTTCAATTTGGAGCTCTCTGACCATCCCGAGTCCCTGGAGCAGATCCTGGTTGACTGCAGAGATACCCTAAAGTATGGTGTTCGTACAGGTAAGGGTGAGAGCCTGGGGGACAAGCGGCAGACCTCTTCACCCTGTCACACCCTTGACAGTTACGAGCATGTCAAACTTGCTCTGGCTTGCCGATGCATGCATCCAGTCTCTGCCTCCTTCTTCACATGGCCTTCTCCCTGCATATGTGTCCGAGTCTGTCTCTTCTTATAAGGACACCCAATCTTTGGATTAAGGCCCCCCTAATCCAGTATGACCTCATCTTAACTTGCTTACATCTGCAAAGACCCCACATCCAAATTAAGTCACTCACAGAACTAGGGGTTAAGACTTGATCAGATCTTTTGAGGGACACAGTTCAACCCACACCACCTTCTATTAGCAAGGCAAGAAAGTCATGCAAGTACACACCCTTTGTATTCTACTCCAACCTGTGGGGCCTAGACACCCTGAATCACCAAATCTTGTCTCTGAGGATGCCCTGTTGCCTCTCTTTCATGTTACAAGAGCCCTCTCTAATCAGCAATCCTGGCCAAAGTGGTTACTTTACAGCTGCCTCAAGTTCAGGGACCTTTCTGTTTCTAAGCCTAGGATTGACTCAGTGGCTTCTTTTCCCTACTGTCTTTCCCCACTGCAGCACCTGGGGAGACAGATCTGCAGGAACCAGCAGCCCATGGCATACGGTCACCACAGGGGAGCCCCTGAGGCTGCAACTATAAGCCCCTTGTTCTTTTTTCTTCTTTCTCTCTCCCTCTCCTTCATTATCCCCCTCACTCTTCCTAGTCATTTGAAGATAGATTTAAGGCTGAGACCAGGGAGGTTGGTGGTGATAGAGCTGAGTAAGGCTATTTATTCATTGTCAAAAACAAAGTGTTTTAATGAAATAATGAGGCTGGCCAAAGAGGCATTTTTAAATAAGGAGCTCCAAACAGCTTTTGAGGTCTGCCAATAGCACTGAAATAAGTGTGGCTTCTTTGAATAACTGCAGGATGAACAGGATGGGCAGGATGGGCAGGACTTAATTACATTATAAAGTCTGTGTTTGATTTTTATAGGAAAAGCATGCTCATCGATTTAGCAAATCTCACCTTGATCTGATGGCTAACCCATTCCTCATGGAAATCAAGTAGTGTTATTTGGCTGGATAAAAAGTGTCAGAATTCTCCATGTATGTTTTAATTTGACTTGCTTTAGTCTAGTGTTTTTTATTTTCTCAGAGAGATGAGACCATATACTTTTATCATTAAAGCCCAGAATAGTCTTGTCCCCCAAAGAAAAATACATAGATTTGTCATAATAGCAATACACATTGCCCACAAAACTAATGCTTCACATGGTCAGAGGAGCGTGGGCCCTTATGAGTCCAGTGTATGAATCCACGGAGATATTTAGCCTGCAGCCATCCATCCCTGTTCTTCACAGCAGCTTCTAGGAGCAGGCATTTGTACTTAGAGAGTTCATGGTCTTCCAGGCAGGGTGTGACCTTCCGCTGCATGTCAGGGTGCTGACCATGCAAAGTGTACTGCTGCTACCATGTAAAAACACTGCCCCTGTTTACTAGTCTGTGATTTAGTAGACACTGGAATAATAAGGCAAACTCTTCAGGTAGCTATGAACAATGGGAAAAATACATTTAAAAAGATATTAATGCTCAGCCAAAATAATGAATAGTGAAAACATACTGATCTGGGTACAGTTTGTGAAGGAATGATAATGGCATTTGGAAATTTCTCTACTAATTAACAAAAGACTTCTGAAATAGGAACCAGTATATATAGTTTCTCCGTGAACCGAGAGAGACACTGGTCAGCTCTTAGTCAGAGTAGGTAAGCCAACTTCCTTAGTTTTTATTTTTCTAACTATTTATTATGGAAAATTTTAAACTTATACAAAAGTAGAACAGTGTAATGAACACTATACAGCTAACACCCAGCTTCAACTATTATCAACTCTTGCCACTTTTGTTCCATCTGTACCCCAACGCCTACCACCCTCTATAAGGAAGCATCCCTGACATAGTATTATTTCATCCAGACGTATTCTTTAAGAACTCTTTTTAAAATAACCACAATATCATTGCTACATCTGAAAAAATTTAGTTCCTTAGTATCAAATTCAGTCAGTGTTCAAATTTTCAGTGGTCTCATGAATGTCATAAATGTTTTGTTTCATTACATTATTCATTTGAGTCAGGATCCAAATAAGTCCCCCACACTGCAATTGCTTGATATGTCCGTAGCAGATTTCCCCCTTGCTCACTCATTTTTTCCTTGAAGTTTACTTATTGAAAAACTTTACTTTGAAAAATAACTTTCTCCCCCTACCTGACTCTTTAGGCCATGTGCTGCTCAGTACTACATCTACCATCTCTTATTTTCACTGAATATAAAGACTTGAAATTGAGATTTAAAGTAGGTTATTTTGTAACTTGAGAGAAATTCTGATATAAGATTTTGAGGATATAGTGGTATAGCCATAAAAGTAAGGTTTTGGATGACTTTGTGTGCTTTATATTTTAATAGACCAAGAGATTCTGTTTTACTTTTACTTGATGGCATTTGTATCAGTCTGTCTGTGTTTGTCTATCTTTTGTCTCTGCTATGCTGTGTGGTTTGGTTTTGATACATTGTCAAATAATGTGATTGCATTTTTTTAATTCAGTCCTGACTTCAAATGAATATTTGTTGTTAAAAGTTTTCAAATGGGTATTGCATGTACTTTTGGTGGCTTTCAACAGAATTGGTTATGTTGCCGGAGATCTCAGAGCATCTCTTGGCACTGAGCAAAGCAGAGTGAAGTGGATGAGTGTATTTGGGGTAGTCTACATGAATGTCTGGAATCTGGCCCCGTGCTTAGGCTAAGCTTATTGTTTACACTTCTCCCTTTAATTGGAAGATCAGTACCTTTTTTGAGGGCTCTTGAGATGAAGGCATTGGTATATTCTGATATAAGAAGTCATAGTCCCTATGTTTTGCAGGAGTTCCCATCACATCTGGGGAAGAATAGACATTCTCAGAGAGCGGTCTTAGACCAGGAACATTCAAACACTAGCTCTCTGACAGTTATTTCTGAGGCAAAAGCAATTTCCACTGGAAACATGCAGTCAGCGAATCTTTTTTACACCAGTTCTCTGTCACACACCCCTACATAATCTATTGCACTGATGCCTTTGTGACAGCTGAGCCAAGCCTGCAGATGTGGAGTTGAGTTTTCCTGTGAATGCCAAGTTGGCCAGAAGTTGGCAACAATCCTGAATTTGCTGAGAACAAAGTCTGTTAAAGCATACTGTGTTGCAAAGGGCTTTAGAGTTATATAGTAATGACAATTATTTAACCAACAACTCAGTGAGTGAATGGAACTGTGTCTGACCCTGTTTCACAGAGAAGATGGCAGGTCATCTCAACAGTAAATTTAGTTGAATGGCCACTTGACTATATATGGGCAAACCCCCCAGTGCTTAATACCATATTTGACTGACAAGGAGACCCCAGAGGGTGATGGTAGGCCCTCAGCATCAGCATCAGACCTGGCACTTTCCCTAGGCCAGCTTTGGTCCACAGAGCTACAAGTCCTCTCTGAGGCCTCTCCATCAGTAAACCTTGATTTGGGGGTTAAAACTTTAGAATGTTAAATTAGAAGTTGAAACATGTACGAAGAAAAGACTAGCATATCCTGATTGGTAATTTAAAAAACAAATATGACAGAGGAGTTAGTTCATCTGGAAATCAACAAGTAAGATATTGGAAAGATTATTAGTTTTATGACATTGGATTTTTTAAAATTAAAAGCATTACACTTTAGAAATGTAGAAGTTTGGAGACTACATAAATGTTAATGGTTGGTATAGAGTGGGTTGACCAATATCCTTCTCCAATATCCTTGGGCAGCCCTATTAGACAGACCATTGAGATGGAAGCCCATTAATGTGCCTGGCCTTTTGCTTTGAAGATAGCTTGAAAAAATCTGAGTTTGCCTTGATGCTTACCTGTTACTTGTCTCTCTAGGTCATCCTCGATTTTTCAACCAGCTCTCCACTGGACTGGATATCATTGGTTTAGCTGGTGAATGGCTGACATCAACTGCCAACACCAATATGTAAGTTCCACATATTATTATCATATATCAACCAGTATACATTATATGGTTTGTTGCTTTAAAAGTCCAACTCCAGTGGTTCTGTAATAATTTTATTACTGTTGCCTTGGTTAATTTTTCTCTTAAGAACTTTAAGGTTTATCACAGTTCTGATTTAATAGTAGATACTTGATAAACTATTTTTGAATTGAGAAATGCAATTTAATAAGAGCACTGCCATGAGATTTAAAACTTTAGCTTTCAAAAGTTAGTGTGAAGTTTTGTGTTAATAGATTCCATATCTCTTAATGATGTGTCTAAAGAGGTCATATTTTGAGTATGATCTTGGTCTATTTAGCATGTTGGTACTTATCATTTAGGTCATATTTCTTTAATAGTTAAAGCTGCCATAAAGCCACAGACCAATTTGGTCAACATACTGCTTAACTAATAAATGCTAAAATGAAATTCAGATGGTAGGAATACATTATTTATTCCTCCCCAAATAACTGGTTGTTTTTCTGAATTTGACATTTTTTTCATACTTGTTTGAGTAGGCAAAGCTTTCATTTGCTTCTAAGTCCTTGTAAATGTATAAGCAACTGACTCTAAGGTCTTGGTGCAGTCACTACCTGGTAGTCTTCTTGTAAATGGCCCATAGTTTCCTATGCATACACGTGCCTTCTTTGGAGACAAGGACAGGTTATAAGTTGATGGAGGGTCATCATAGCTTACCAAGTACTGTCTTTTCTCTGGGCACTATGATAATGTTTTACCAGTTTCTGTACACCAAAGACAATGGCACCATATTCTATTCAAGTATCCAAAGGAAAATAACAAAGCAAGTTTCTTGCAGTAATTTTTAAGTAACTTCAAGAATTATATGGGTTTCAATCACTGTGAAAATATTTAGAAAATAACAATCCACTTTTTAAGGTCATGGTAGATTTGAAAAATGAATTTAGGTAAAAAGGTGGCATTGTTTAAAATGAGAAATTCCATTTGACATCAAGATAGAATATAAGTAATTAAAGTTCAAGGTATTCTATTTTTCTTAAACTACTACCAGCCACGTAACCTGAAAGGGAGCTTTAAAATTGTATATCAATTCATACAAGTTCCAAAGCTATTTAATGCTGTGACTTATAATAAGAACATTCAGAAAAGTTTCTGTTAATTAGGGATTCCTGCTTTGTTTGCTAATTTAAAGCAACAATGACAGATTTTTAAAGGTAAATGTGACAGGCAAAGCCTTTAGTGCTAAAAGGCATAAAAGATTAAATTGATAAAAAATGAAAATGTTTTTACGCTCCCTGCTTTCAAGTCCTGATTAACTTCACGGAGTGTCCGTGTTGGAGCACTAAGGCTGCAAAGGGCCAAAAGGAATTGGGGTCAAAGATAAAACTGTGTAGTCTCCTTAAAAAACTCGCCTTTGCAATCCTCACTGAGGTATGGTTTGCGAGATAAAAATATATCAGTAAGCATAAACATCATAATATACTAATTATAACTTTAAAAAGACACTAATGCTTAATTGGAGCATCTCACACTAAGGAACAATTTTAATTAGCAAGTGCAGCTTTTTTAAAAACTTAAATATTTGGAAAACAAAGAGAAAAACAGAGTAAAAGGTACAAGTCTATTAAAGCCCTATTCCCATATTAACATAGGCACTGAATTTACTCAGCCTTTTTAAGTGTGTATTTTGTAGGCCTCTCAGCTGTGATTTCCAAATAAAAACAGCCCGATCTTAAGGTAAATAGAAGAAACTCACTTCTTTGAACCATTTATGACAGGATATTCTCCTAAAGGCTTTTCTTCAACCAAAGAGATTTCACAAATTCTCCATTTTGGTATGGGTTAATAAAATCGAAGTCCCTTATTCTTCCCTGACTTCAGCTTAGCTGTGAAATACTAAAATATGTACTAGCCTTCTGAGTTCAAGGCCAATTCAACTAAATGGTACATAGTAATTGCTAAACTGAACAATGGATATTTATAAAATATGATTCAATTCCAACAGATCAATAGAGAAGGCTATTTAAAATAGTGAAATAGTTTCTGTCAGTTCTACAGACAGGGCATTGTCTGAAGAAGTAATAATTTCTCTTATCTAGACTGTGTTCTAAGCCAGTCTGCCTGAAAATCGTGCAATGTGGCTGCACTGTCAGATGCTCAGGCGGCAGCGTGCTCCCTCATGTCAGTAACTAGGAAGAGGGTTCAAAATAAATCTGGGAAAGAATGACAAAAAGATCTGTTTTTAGCAGAGTAGGATTTAATTAGTGATGTAGTCATTTTTTGACCTGCATTATCTTTTGAGTTTGGGTGGTGTTGTTAACAGAGACTAATAACTATATCCTCCAGTAGAGTATTTTTAAAAGAACTACCCAGTATCTTACTTCAAGTGACAAAGTATAAGGTATATGACTGCTAGAATAGAAAAGACATTTATGTTCATACTTTTATACCTACCTGTACATATAGCTTTGAGATCTCTTCTTCCAAACAAGGACTCAGTGAAGACCCAAAGAAAATTTAACAAATATTTAGTTGTCCATGACATGTTCAGCTCTTTTCTTCCAAAATAGGGCCACCAAGTACAGCTGTGCGGGTTGACAGTACCCAAGTGTAAGCAACAGTCTGCCCCAAACACCTGACACCACATACCTTGATGGTGTGATCTCTCCCTGCCCTGTGTTGTGAGGCTGTGATTTCAACTTTCTAAGGCTTTATTTTTATAGAAATTACACAGGAGAAATTTTCTGTGGGAGTTATCATTCATTTTATGCTACTAGGCAAGTCGTAAAGAGGAACGTGCTGTAAGCAGTTCTCGTTTGTCACAGGAAAGGAGCTGTGATGTATAGGATTTGGAGTTCTGAATCTGTAACGTAGTATGAGATCCTAAAACAGACCACTGAATTCCTTTGAACCTAAGTTTTTCAGGAAAATGGGGGATAATAATATCCATCCTACAGAGTGGTTCTGAAGGCTAAAAAAGGAACCAGTCTTGAGTGCCCAGTGTATACAAGGTGCAATGCACACACCCAGGAAAGGAAGCCACCCCACAGGCCCCTGTCACCATTCGAGACCCCTCCCTTCATCCCCTTGGCTCCTTTGTTTCCACCTCTCCTCATTTCTGGGCACCAGAGGGCCTCACCAAGCTCCTCTCCAGCTGTGTTACCTTTTAAGGTGAAAATGGGCCACCTGGTACATCTGTAAGAAGGCAGAATCTAAGAGGAATGCCGAGTTGGGGAGTCAACATGGAAAATTATTTCTTTCTCTCATTAAAGAAGTTCCCAGTTTGACAGTCCTTGGGAATTCAGATTCCTTGTGCCTTTGTAACCATATAGAATGTGGCCTTCATCCTCCAGGTCCCCTCATGGCACAGGCTAGCTGCTGGAACTCCAGCCATCATTTATGTGTTCCAGAACTCAGGAAGGAGAGGGGAAGGAGGGAGTGAGGGAGAGAGGGAGAAAGGAAGGAAGGACAGAGGGAAGAAAAGAAGGGAGGGAGGCTAAGTAGTTAAAAGGGGAACACACTCTTTCCTTTTAAGAAACCTCAGAAGCTCCACACACTTCCCACAGCATCTCTTTAGCCTGAACTTAGTCCCATGGTCACATGTAGGGAGGCTAGAAAATGTAGTCTTTGATCTGGGTGAAATGTCATCCCCCAAAAAACTGAATGAAGCAAGGGAAAATTGATATTGGTTAGCAACCAGAAGACTCTGCCACAAGAGAAATTCAGCTTGTTAATAAATTTGCCTTAGTTCAGAGTGAATCACATAGGAAGGTGAGTTGAACCACTAAAAAAGGGCTGACTCACTACCCTACTCAGAACATAAGGAAGCTCAGAACTCTGCTTTAGTGTGAGTCCAGGAATGTCGCCATCCTATTGTTTTAAGCACTTCCTTCCAGGCCCATATTCTTATGCTTTACCCCTGAGCTTTTTGCAGGGTTAGTTTCTTGTTCTCTGATTCTGAAATGTCATCCTGTGCTCTGACTTTCGCATCTAAGCAGCTTCTTCTGATCCATATTTGACCTCTTGACTTCCCCTCTTTTCATCTATCATTTAGGGGAGTCCAGGTTGTAAGAGAGCAATCTCCTACAGTTGTATACAAAATAATGTGCATATCCTCATTTTCTTCCTGGGGGGAGGGACCATAGCTTTCTTGGGATTCCCAAAGGCTTCTAGGACCCCAATTAATCTAAGAACCACTGCTTTAGGGTAAACTTCAAGGCCTTCTATAAGACTTGGGGTACAGGCAGACTCCTAGTTGTGCACATGGCCCAGGATGGGAAGACACGGTCAGAGAAGTGTCAGCAACAGGGAATGTCATGTTAGCCCACTTGTCAGGCCATGGACCGATCTACCAGCTTCTAGGAGAGGATGTCAGGACTTAAGTCATGAATCAGGATAAGCTTGGTGTTAGCTATGTGATAACTGGTCCTTCAGGCCTGGGAAGGGACTCAGACAGGATGCAGCTAAGCCCAAGACCCAGATGCTGGATTCATCCTAGTTAGCTTCCTCCTCAAGGTTGCGAATGGTGTCTCAGAATACTCTGTCCCATCAGTACATTAAGGTGCCACATGGCAGAGAATAGTCACTCAATAAGTATTTGTTCAACAAAACTGAAGGAAAAGTCTAGGAGTTAGGTGCCTGCCACAGATAAGGACCTGAAACAGAAGAGACCAGATGGTGTCATGGTCGGGCCCTCCAGACCCCTCCTCCCAAATCCCGAGGGTGATGGCCACATTCCTGGGCCTCGGGTAGGCCCACTGGTTCATGGGCCTAAACTGAATCAAATCATAAAGTGGACCAACCCATGGCATTCAGTCCTCTCTCTCCTCAGTTCCCCATGTAGTTTCTGCATGGCTATCAAGCTCTGACTTGACTCCAACTCAGCTTTGATCCAATCGTTGATAAGGTTCTGATGTTATGGAGTATGATTCCACTTTTCCTTGCCTCATCCCAGAGACCTTCTCTTTTGGTATTGTGAGATTCCAGCACACACCAGCACCAGTACCTCTGCACCATGTGAACATTTTTTGCCATTCCAACATTTCCAAAAATTAGTGACTTTATTGACAACACATTTGTTCAAGAATGGTTAGAAGCACATCGTGAGTTTGCCTCTTGGTACACTCAGCAGCACACAGGCTAAACCAGGAACCCTTTTCTTCTTCTTCCTTTATCAGGCCATCAGACATGAGGGAGTGTTGGTTGCCATGGTGATGGGGCTCAGAGCCGACCAAAGTGTGATTGTGGCCTCCAGAGGTGATGGTGACTGGACACATGATTTCCGAGGGTCTTCCTTCTAGATTTCAAGTCTCCTACCAAGGAAAATGAACATATTATTTTTGGAAACAAAATTCTTCTACCAATAGATATATTCTGAGGATCCTCCAGGATCTCTTTGTTCTCTTTTTCTACCACGTGATTAATTTGATTGCTTTTTTCCTCCATAACTAAAATTTAGTATTTTCACCTGTGTCTTATGTACAGTTATCTTATCCTTGCTAATAACTTTTCTAAATCATTAAACCAGCAAGAATTCCCATTCGTCCTTAGCACTGGCATTCAGCCCAAACACCCTGATCAATGATAAAGTCTCTCCATACAGCTTTGGCAGAGTCAATCAAGGAATCTCTTTTCAGCAAACATGGTCTGAGCTGAGCCTACAGACTCTAATGCTTAAGAAGATCAGCAAAAAGAAGAAAGACAAAGAATCTGAGAATCAGTTAATACATTTTTTTGTTTTCTGGTTTAATTTTCTGTGGATGAGCTTCCTTTGATTTCTCTTCTCTGTCCGTGGTACCACAATCTTATACCAGTGCCTAGTCTGCAAGACTGTGCTTCTGTTTTGAACTGCTTTGAGAAGAACAGGCTTGATACTTTTAAATCAGCTTGTTAGAAGACAAAGGTAACCTACCAGGATATCTGATGCCCACAGTTAGCTGTGTATGCCAGTTGACCATCTCCTTGTTTTTTATAATTGGTAATTAGAAAATTATCACTTATAATTATTCCTGACAGATATTGACTTTGGAGAATTATAGAAACATACCTGTCCTGGGGATTATCAGTAGAAAAACCATGTAGATAATTATATTGAGTTCTTTAAAACCTGGGTCAATATTTCCGATTATCTTCACATTTAGCTTTCAGATGTTTACATTGTTTTTAAAAGATAGACTTTGACTCTGGGTTTTATAGATTCTACAGGTATGAAATTGCCAGTCGGTATTTTTAAATGTTGCAATCTAGTTTTATGTAGAACTTAGAACACATTTTTTAGTTAACATTTGCATAGTCCAATAATCTTAGACATAAAAGGGACCCAGGAAAATCATTTTCTTTCCTTCTGTTTCTCTGTGTGGCCCGCACTTAAGATACTCCATTCAGATAAGCATCTATTTTGTTTGTGAAGAATCAGAGCAAGCACCTCCACAGCCTCTCTTGATAACCCAGGCTGGTTTCTGATACTTTATGATCAGTAAGTTAATACATTTCCAGGAAATGAATTGTTTTAGTGGTTTCAAACATCTTTTTTTAAGAATCCAAGTACAGATACTAAGCCAACCATCTATGTTCCCCAAATAAATAGTTTGACTTCTTTTTTTGATTCTTTTTCTCACCACCTTTTCAGGTTTACATATGAAATTGCACCGGTGTTTGTCCTCATGGAGCAAATAACTCTTAAGAAGATGAGAGAGATAGTCGGATGGTCAAGTAAAGATGGTGATGGGATATTTTCCCCTGGTAGGTTTCTGTTCCCTTTCCCTGACTCTCCTCAAAGTTTCTAATATAGGTCCGAGGAATCCTTGAGAAAACTAAACATAAAGTGAGTTTGTGGAAGAACCATGGCCTTAAAATATATTTTTTTATACTCCTGCCTTCCTATCTTGGTTAGGGTAGAGGTTAGCAAGAATGATACATGTGTACTGATTCACAAAGGTTGTGCCTAAATCATGCTAAATAACTCAGTGTGTCGACAGCAGTTTGGTTCAGCTGGGGATCAATGAACTGAGATTATCAGTTGATCAATTTCAACCAAAATAGTACATCTATTTTGAATCTCTAGTCTGATGTAGATACAATAAAAATCTTTAAAACAAGGACAGATTTTCTTGGACATAGGAAGGAATTTGGGATGGTATGAGAGACAGGGTGCTTGTGTACAAAGGAAAGAGAATAAGAATTGTAAGTGTCTAGACAGTTCAAGCTTACCATGAATTTGCCTGTTTAATTGGTAGATGCAAAAATTTGTGTTGGCCAGACATACCAAGATAGTTACTGCAGTTCTCCTTGTGTCTTTAAGTAAACATGAGTTTGAATTTATTTTGATAAACTTCGAGTTCTCAATGACTCAATAACAGGTGGGCTGTTCATTGAGGAGTATTTCCAGACAATGGCAGTGTTTCCTTTTGTAGGCTCCATTAGTCTCTTTTTTTTTCTGACTCAGAAAACAGATTCATCATTGCTCAGTAAATAGACTGAGCAGAAGGTGGAAGCAGGAAGGCTGTAACTCACTATCTCTTCGCAGCCACTGCGGCTGCACCTCTTATCTTTCTGTCAGGTAGGATGGGCACTGGAGTTTGTGAACCAACTCCAGCCTAACTGCCAAGATGGCTTTTGGTAATGAGTGCATTCCCAGGACCAAGGAGCCAGAGGGAAGCCCTGGCAGTAGGGAAGCCAGCAAAACCTATCAGGACATTGTCCTTCCCTTTCTGACTTCCCTTGTCTATTGAGATACCAGCTCAGCCCTTGTTGTCAGGAGCAATAATGACAGAGCTCCCACACCGCCAGTGTGTCTGTTTGCTGACAGGGGGAGCCATATCCAACATGTACAGCGTCATGGCCGCTCGCTACAAGCACTTCCCGGAAGTGAAGACAAAGGGCATGGCGGCGGTGCCCAGACTGGTCCTCTTCACCTCGGAGCACGTGAGTTGAGTGCTCTTGCTCGAGGATCATGGTGTTTTCAGTAGGACTAACTTCTGACGTAAGCCTCTGTTGTTGCAGAGCCACTATTCCATAAAGAAAGCTGGGGCTGCTCTTGGCTTTGGAACTGATAACGTGATTTTGATAAAGTGCAATGAAAGGTAGGCAGGAGAGAGTGAATATTAGTTTCCTGATGTATTAAATGTGTTCATCTGTTAAATTTGTTTTATTGTGCTTAAGGACTGACTCAGTACAGTGTGCCAAGCTGCTAATGGTCTGTTGAAAATATCCAATTAAATTACTTTTTGCTGCTGCTGAAGTTTTTTGTGTGTGAAATCTCTTTGATTCTTCATTTTAATTTCTCTCTTTTTATAATAATTACAGGGGGAAGATAATTCCAGCTGATTTAGAGGCAAGAATTCTTGAAGCCAAACAAAAGGTATGTACTTGATGGTGCATCTAAACCCTGGTGAATACAAATTTTTTAAATCCTTATACAATAAAAGCCCTTGATAATGTAAGAGATCATTTTATTGTGTTTCTAAAAATCCTATTCCCAGGTATTTGCTTATTTCCAAGTTGTGAAATGATTGATTTGGCTTTAAAACCATGTTAATATAATACCAATTTTTTAGAAAAAAATGAAAAATTCATTGAACCATTTGCCCTACATTCATTACAGCAAATAATTGGTTTAACATACTTCAATAAATCCACTATCCAAGCATCATGAAGAGACAACCTAATCGAGCTTTTCACTTGCTGCTTGTTAGGTGTAATCTCATTTTAACAAATACCATCTTAGCTTAGGATTCTGTTTAGCAAAGTGCTTCTAAGCCCTGGCAGATGGCCCATGATACTTGGTGAATCCCTTCTCAGTAAGTTCTATTAAACAAAAAAAATCTCCCAAACCAGATGTATCCACAAGGCATTTCCAGATAGCTGTTAGGATTTACCAACTCATTGGTGTTTTGGTTACATTCTTGTATCTCCTTCTCTAACTGTAGCTGTTTGCTGGTGTCTCAGTAGAGGGGATGGGTAGAAATGTCACTAGGACTAAGCAAGCATGGGTGGAGCTGAACTTAAAAAAACTCTAGAACTCACAAGTCTTGGCTTTGTTACTCCACTTCCTCATTTCATGTTCACATCAAAATTTTACCATGTCCACTACTCGTGAACATTTCAACTTTCACAGTGTTTTGACCTGTTGTAAACAGTGAAACAGTGCTTCAGTATAATTATTATATCAATATACTTAGAACAACACAGCTTCTAAAACTTACAACGTCCAGATGATATTCAGAGCTACCTGCCCATCACTCCAAATACTTATTACTCTTTCCTGCTTTATTGTTTGGCATAGAACTTATCACTATCAAACATACCATGTATTTTGTTTATTTAAGTTTGTTTGTTGTCTGTCACTCCCCACCAGAATGTAAATTCCATGAGGACAGAAATCATCATCTGTTGTGCCCATTGCTGTATTCTTAGCATCTACACCAGGACCTGGTATATAAATGTCACTTAAAAAATATATGTTGAATGAATAAATGAATGAACCAAACACCACCTTAATTGATCTCTGTTAGATATAAATGCTACTGCAATTTTTCTACTGTGTGTGGAAAGGAGAAAGGTTAAGAAGACTAATCGGCCTGTCCTTCTTACCCTATAGGGATATGTTCCTCTTTATGTGAATGCCACTGCTGGCACTACTGTTTATGGAGCTTTTGATCCGATACAGGAGATAGCAGATATATGTGAGAAATACAACCTTTGGCTGCATGTTGATGTAAGTGCTGTAACTCAGAAAGTGACCCTGTCTATTTGGGGGTGGAAGCAGCTCTGCTTTATGATTTGCTTCAAGCCTTCCCCACAGCCCCAGCCAGCCCTCTCACTGCATCATATTAGTTCCACTCCTCTCTGGCCCCCAGCCGGCCCTTCATAATTAGGACCTACCGCAGGCTGCACATCCTCTGGGCCTTGTCCAGTTGCATGTGGGCAGCCAGTTGCTGTCTTCTGTGGTCCAGGCTACGATAGGATCTCTGTTACCTTTCCAGGAGGCTTTAGTTTGGACAAATGGCTACTGAGTGAAATAGAACTGGTTTCAGAGGGAAAAAATATATGACACAATATATGGAAAGTGGCCATGAATCAGGACACTCAGTTGTCTGCTTTCAATCCAGCCATCTGTGACATTTTTCCAAAAAAAGAAATGTGTCTGGCACATATAGGAAAGATAAGGCAGTTTATGGAAGGTATGAACTAAAAGATTTCATCCCAATTTTCCTTAGGAACCAAAAGGTACATTTTGACATGTGTGAATGAGTATATTTTTTCTTTTTCTCTCTCCGTTTTCTTATGGCTGTAATGTCTCACAGCTGGATAACTGGGTGATCTGCCCTACTATTGAATAAATGACTAACAAAGTCTGTTCTTGTGTCATAGAATTTATCACTATCAAACACACTATGTATTTTGTTTGTTTAAGTTTGTTTAATCCTGAGCTAGTCAGTAAATATGCATCGGGGTGCCTGCAAAAATGTCCTACTGCTAAAGGATCTACGTGGGACCTCTAAGCCCTCCTGTTGCTCTCTGGTGTTTAGGAGCCCTTGGGAGACTTAGATTGCAGGCGCCAGTCCTTCGGGTTGCTTCCAGAGCCACCCGGGCTTATCCGTGACTGCGGCTTTCCACAGCACTGCGGGCCCTTGGCTGCTGGTAGCACAGCCTCAGGCCCGACTGCCCTGTGTCACTCACGCAGCTCCACAGTTGTTAGCCTGGGGGAACTTTTGAAGTGACAAATGACAAATAATTAGAATGGCCAGGGATTGAACAGTCAGTGTGGGTTCCTTTTGTCAGAGAAGCTTTTGTTTTTCACTGTTTGTATTCTTGCTCATGTTTCACTAGAGGTGTGGGGTTGCTGGCTGGGGATTCTTGAGTTTCGCTGCCCCTCTCCCCTCTCCTTCTCTGTCCTGACAGGCTGCCTGGGGCGGTGGGCTACTCATGTCCAGGAAGCACCGCCACAAGCTCAGCGGCATAGAGAGGTAAGGGTGGCTCAGCCCGGTGATACCTCCAGCCCTCACTCCCAGCATCCCATTTCCATCTGACTAAGCTCACTTCAGTTCAGAAGGCATTTGTTGAGCACTTATGGTATGCTGGGCCCTAGGAAAGCCAAAAGTGTTTTATTTCACAGTCAGATGAGTCCTCAGTGAGTTCACAGTTTAGAGAGAGAGAAAGAGGTAAACAGCTGCAGTACAATGAGCTAAGCACAGCAGAAGGTGAGCTTACGCAGTGCCCAGGGAGGAGAGTGGGGGTTTGGAGGTGAAATAAGAGTTTGCTGAGGGCATGGGAAGGGGCACGATTCGTTTCACTCTTCTTTCCCATTATGCTTACTGCTGGGAAAGGGCTAGGAGTCTCAGCCTACCGTTCCAGTCCAGTGAGTGTTCTAAGCCAAGTGCGGTTTTGCCCTGACTCCTATATGTTGACTCAGAATGAACCCACATGAGATCATTTATTCACTCAGCAAATACCTCTGGAGCACCGATCATGACAAGGCAGACACAGATGTGCTGCTCAGTTACCTACCTTCAGCCCTGACATCTATGGTACTTTTCTACCTGGTACATGTAGGAAAAATAAGGCAGTGTATGGGAAGTGTTATCAACTAGGAGATCTACCCTCCTGAAGCTTACTGTCCACTGAGTTAAAGAGATATTTAATCTGTCTCATAGTAAAGAAAAAGAAAGCTGGTTTAGATGACAGTATGCTGTTTTAAGCCAATGTAGTCAGAGGCCTTTCTGAGAAGTGACATTTCAGCAGTTACTGGGATGAAGGGAAATAGGAAGCAAGGATACGTGGAAGAGTATTCCAGGTGGTGGGAAGGGCAAGTGCAAAGGCCTTGAGGTACGGCTGTTCTTGGCAAGTCGGAGGGCTGGCAAAGAGGCCCGTGTGGCTGGAGCAGTGAGATGTGAGCCCAGATGGAGGGTGGAGGGAATGGGGAGCAGGTTTCAGGGAGAGCGCCCACCAAAGGCTCCTTCACAGTGAGGTTTTGGCTTGAGTTTTTGTTGCCTCTTCTCTGCCTCCTCCCTTCTGGTTCAGTTTTGAAAGGCTGGTGTCAAGGTGACTAGGACTGACTCTGAAGCATACTTATATGACCCTATATGTTGGAGGATCATATGTTAAATGTAGATTTATACTTTAGATTTCTCAGGCAATTTTCATTTTCATCTTTGTGGCTGGAAAACATGAAACATTTTGCACTAGACTTTTCCCTCCCTAGCATTTTAAAGTACATATATCTTCTGAAGGAAACGAAATCCATACCATGTCTTACTATTTTCCATTTGTAGCAGCAAAGAACCACTTACTTTAGACCTTTAGGACATTAAAAAAAAAAACCCTTAAGACAGTTCATGAGATCTCATGGCAGCACAGCCTCAGGCCCGACTGACGCAGCTCCTCAGTTGTTAGCCTGGGGGAACTTTTGAAGTGACAAAAGTGAACTTTTGAGTAGCCCACCTCCCCAAGATTTTAATGACTTAGTGAATAATAACTATGAGAAATTTGATTGAATCCACCACCTTTTAAATATGGCTTGCCATTGATGATTTTTAATGAAATAACATTTAGTAAACTTTTCTTAGAACTTTTCACAGATCTTTCACAAAGCTTTTCTTTATAAGCACTGATGGGAAAAGTACTTCGGGCCTTTCTCTCTTGTCCTTGAAAGACAGTGCACATCGTGCACATCCTATCTATAGTCAAGATGCACAAAGTGTTTTTCCCTCTAAAGGACCTAAGCAAGAAGAAGAGGTTAAAAATTCACAGCAAGGATTTTTCTCTACGGAGATTGGAGGCAGTATAATTCTGAGCCAATTGCTATGTCTGGGGAAAACATCCTTCACAGGTTTAAAGTGCATAGCCCAGCTGCGGGCCAGGAAGGAATCTGTAAACCACTGAAGCAAGTTACCCACATTTTAGTCATCAGACATCATCCTTAGTTGTTAGCATAATGTCCCAACCAGTGCGCTCCTGAGCCGTTTCACCACATCTGACAGAGTGATGCAGCCCCAACTGGCAATACCACGTTCATTTAGCATTTACACGAAATCGCTCAGCAGTCAAAGTCTAGAATTATTCACTTGATCCTTGCTTTTAGATATCAGTCTTCATACTATCTCCCCAGTAGGTAGGTCAACATCACCAGCCCATCTTACAAATAAAAAGAAGGCAGAAAGAAGCCAGGGTTTGCTGCCTGCAGGGACGCAGGCTAGTGGAGGGGGTGGGAGCACTCGCTGTGCAATTAGACTCCCTGGACTTAAATCTTGGCTCCAGCACCTCCCTGCTGTGTGACTTTGGGTGATGTATTTGACCCTTTTATATCTCAGTTTCTCCACTTAAAATAGAGGTGATAACGGTCCCTACATCATAGGTTATTGTGAGAAATAAGTACCATAACACAGTTATTAGCATTTGTAGTTATTAACTCATTTTATCCTTTATTCAGTTTTGTGAGATATATACAATTCTTCCAACTTTACAGGTGGGTGAACTGAGGCACAAAGGAGTCGTCTGACTTGTCCAAACTGGCAGAGGCCAGAGCCATGTTCAGACTTGGATAGTCCGGTTCCAAAGCCCAAGTTCTCAACCATGGCATCATATTGATATAATGCCTATAAAGCTCTCTGAACAATAGGCCACATAAATGTTCTCCATAAATGCGAGCTATTATAAATAGCAGTTATTTAGACAAGGCAGTCTGCAACTTAGTACCCTGAGACTGCCAGCAAAATATTTGTTTATGTTGACTAGTCAATTTAGGAGATGACGTGTCAAAAATGTGTACCAACTAAAATTGCAATGGGCAGTGTTTTTCTCAAGAGGACAGTTGCCTCTTGCTGACTCCTGTGTGTTCTCCTCAGAGGATCGTGTGCTTCTTTCAGGGCCAACTCAGTCACCTGGAACCCTCACAAGATGATGGGTGTGCTGTTGCAGTGCTCTGCCATTCTCGTCAAGGAGAAGGTCAGTACCGCCTCCACAGAGATGAGCTGGGGGCCCACATATCCTGCAGAAGACACACGAGAAGAAAAGCATGGGGTCCTCTCACAGTGCTCCAGGAACTCCCAAGATCGACTGCCCCACTGCCCCACAACGACTGCCACTGCTGTTTTTTGCTGCTCTCCCACCAGCCCACAGCTGGCCCGGCACCTCCCCTTGACTGGCACTCAGGGCGCCCTTCCTCCCTGTCAGAGCACGGGGCCCTGTCAGGGGCAGGCTGTGAGGGCGGTATTTCATTTTACATTCCATCATGTTTGTGCAGACAAAAGTGAGAGAAACTGGGTGAGCCCCCAACTCTTAACCTCAGTGAGGACACACAGTGGTCACTGGAGCATACTTCAGGTTCTTAGCATGAAGCGGTGCTCCCAAGAGCTGGAGTAAGTTCTGCGGAACAACTAGAGTTATCAGCTCAGGGGAACAAGGACTGTTGGCCAAAAAGCCTCTGTAAATGAGATAGTCTATTCCCTTCCTCAGGCATCCAGTAATGGCCCCTGCCTTTGAAAGCAGTGTAGTTCAAGGAACACTTTGGTACACCACGACATTTCAGTAAGCCTGGCTCCAGCCAGTAGGAGCCAGAACCTGCACAAGATCTCTACTTCTGAAGCAGAGTGCCTTTTAAGTTTTTTTAAAATCTTTTATTAAGGTATTATTGATAAACCCTCTTATGAAAATTTCACATGAAAAAACAATGTGGTTACTACATTTACCCATATTATCAAGTCCCCACCCATACCCCAGTGCAGTCACTGTCCATCAGATGCCACAGATCCACTATGTGCATTCTCTGTGCTACACTGTTCTCCCCATGATCCCCCACACCATGTGTACTAAACATAATACCCCTCAATCCCCTTCTCCCTCCCTCCCCACCCGCCCTCCCACACCCCTCCCCTCTGGTAACCACTAGTCCTTTCTTGGAGTCTCTGAGTCTGCTTCTGTTTTGTTCCTTCAGTTTTGCTTCGTGGTTATACTCAACAAATGAGAGAAATCATTTGGTACTTGTCTTTCTCTGCCTGGCTTAGTTCACTGAGCATAATGTCCTCCAGCTCCATCCATGTTGTTGCAAATGGGAGGATTTGTTTCTTTCTTATGGCTGAATAGTATTCCATTGTGTATATGTACCACTTCTTCTTTATCCATTCACCTACTGATGGACACTAGGTCGCTTCCATATCTTGGCTATTATAAAAAGTGCTGTGATAAAGATAGGGGCGCATATGTCTTTTTGAATCTGGAGGTTGTTGTACTCTTTGGGTAAATTCCAAGGAGTTGGATTCCCAGGTCAAATGGTATTTCTAGTCTTAGTTTTTTGAGGAACCTCCATATTACTTTCCACAATGGTTGAACTAGCTTACATTCCCACCAGCAGGGTTCCCCTTTCTCCGAATCCTTGCTAACATTTGTTGTTCTTAGTCTTTTCGATGCTGGCCATCCTTAGTGGTGATATGATATGGTGAGGTGATATCTCATTGTGCTTTTAATTTGCATTTCTCTGATGATTAGTGATGTGTAGCATCTTTTCATCTGTCTGTTGGCCATCTGAATTTTTTCTTTGGAGAACTGTCTCCTCATATCCTCTGCCCATTTTTTAATCAGATTATTTGCTTTTTGGGTGTCGAGACATGTAAGTTCTTTATATATTTTGAATGTTAACCCCTTGTCAGATATGTCATTTACAAATATATTCTCCCATACTGTAGGATGCCTTTTACTTCTGTTGATGGTGTCCTTTGCCATACAGAAACTTTTTAGTTTGATGTAGTCCATGAGTTCATTTTTGCTATTGTTTCCCTTGCTCGAGGAGATGCGTTCAAGAAGTTGCTCATGCTTATATTCAGGAGATGTTTGCCTATGTTGTCTTCTAAGAGTTTTATGGTTTCATGACTTACATTCATGTCTTTGATCCACTTTGAGTGTACTATTGTGTATGGGGTTAAACAATAATCTAGTTCCATTCTCTTGCATGTAGCTGTCCAGTTTTGCCAACGCCAGCTTTTGAAGAGGCTGTCATTTCCCCATTGTATGTCCATGGCTCCTTTATCATATATTAATTAACCACATATGGCTGGGTGTATGTCAGGGCTCTCTAGTCTGTTCCATTGGACTTTGAGTCTGTTCTTGTGCCAGTACCAAATTGTCTTGATTACTGTGGCTTTGTAGTAGAGCTTGAAGTTGGGGAGCATAATCCCCCAAGCTTTATTCTTCCCTTTCAGGATTGCTTTGGCTATTCGGGGTCTTTTGTGGTTCCATGTGAATTTTAGAATGATTTTCTCTAGTTTGTTGAAGAATACTGGTATTTTGATAGGAATTGCATTGTATCTGTAGATTGCTTTAGACAGGATGACCATTTTGACCATATTAATTCTTCCTATCCATGAGCACACGATGTGTTTCCATTTATTGGTGTCTTCTTTAATTTCTGTCATGAGTGTCTTGTAGTTTTCAGAGTATAGGTCTTTCACTTCCTTGGTTAGGTTTATTCCTAGGTATTTTATTCTTTTTGATGCAACTGTGAATGGAATTGTTTTCCTAATTTCTCTCTCTGCTAGTTATTGTTAGTGTATAGGAATGCCACAGATTTCTGTGTATTAATTTTGTATCCTGCAACATTGCTGAATTCAGATATTAGATCTAGTAGTTTTGGAGTAGATTCTTTAGCATTTTTTATGTACAATATCATGTCATCTGCAAACAGGGACAGTTTAACTTCTTCCTTGCCAATCTGGATGCCTTTTATTTCTTTGTTTTGTCTGATTGCCATGGCTAGGACCTCCAGTACTCTGTTGAATAAAAGTGGGGAGAGTGGGCATCCGTGTCTTGTTCCCAATCTTAAAGGAAAAGCTTTCAGCTTCTCGCTGTGGGTTTGTCATGTATGGCCTTTATTATGTTGAGGTACTTGACCTCTATACCCATTTTGTTGAGAGTTTTTATCATGAATGGATGTTGAATTTTGTCAAATGCTTTTTCAGCATCTATGGAGATAATCATGTGGTTTTTGTCCTTCTTTTTGTTGATGTGGTGGATGATGTTAATGGATTTTCGAATGTTGTACCATCCTTACATCCCTTGAGTAAATCCTAATTGATCATGATGGATGATCTTTTTGATGTATTTTTGAATTTGGTTTGCTAATATTTTGTTGAGTATTTTTGCATCTATGTTCATGAGGGATATTGGTCTGCAGTTTTCTTTTCTTGTGGTGTCTTTGCCTGGTTTGGTGTTAGAGTGATGCTGGCCTCATAGAATGAGTTTGGAAGTATTCCCTCTTCTTTTACTCTTTGGAAAACTGTAAGGAGGATGGGTATTAGGTCTTCACTAAATGTTTGGTATAATTCAGTGGTGAAGCCATCTGGTCTAGGCATTTTGTTCTTAGGTAGGTTTTTGATTACCAGTTCAATTTCATTGCTGGTAATTGATCTGTTCAGATTTTCTGTTTCTTTCTAGATCAGCCTTGGAAGGTTGTATTTTTCTAGGAAGTTGTCCATTTCTTCTAGGTTTTCCATCTCGTTAGCATATAGGTTTTCTTAGTAGTCTTTAATAATTTTTTGTATTTCTGTGGAGTCTGTCGTGATTTTTTCCTTCTCATTTCTGATTCTGTTAATGTGTGTAGACTCTCTTTTTTTCTTGATAAGTCTGGCTAGGGGTTTATCGATTTTGTTTATTTTCTCAAAGAACCAGCTCTTGCTTTCGTTGATTCTTTCTATTGTTTTATTCTTCTCGATTTTATTTATTTATGCTCTAATCTTTATTATGTCCCTCCTTCTACTGACTTTTGGCCTACTTTGTTCTTCTTTTTGTAGTTTCGTTAATTGTGAGTTTAGACTGCTTATATGGGATTGTTCTTCTTTCCTGAGGTAGGCCTGTATTGCAATATACTTTCCTCTCAGCATGGCCTTGGCTGCATCCCACAGATTTTGTGGCATTGAATTATTGTTGTCATTTGTCTCCATATATGCTTGATCTCTGTTTTTATTTGGTCATTGATCCACTGGTTATTTAGGAGCATGTTATGAAGCCTCCATGTGTTTGTGGGATTTTTCATTTTCTTTGCATTCTAGTTTCATACCTTTGTAGTCTGAGAAACTGACTGGTACAATTTCAATCTTTTTAAATTTACCACAGCTCTTTTTGTGGCCTAGAATATGGTCTGTTCTTGAAAATCTTCCACGTGCACTTGAGAAGAATGTGTATTCTGTTGCTTTTGGATGTAGAGTTCTATAGATGTCTGTTAGGTCCATCCGTTCTAATGTATTGCTCAGCGCCTCTGTCTCCTTACTTATTTTCTGTGTGGTTAATCTGTCCTTCAGAGTGAGTGGAGTGTTGAAGTCTCCTAGAATGAATGCATTGCAATTTATTTCCCTTTTTAATTCTGTTAGTATTTGTTTCACATATGTAGGTACTCCTGTTTTGGGTGCATAGATATTTATAATGGTTATATCTTCTTGTTGGATCGACCTTTTTATCATTATGTAATGTCCTTCTTGGTCTCTTGTGACTTTCTTTGTTTTGAAGTCTATTTTGTCTGATACAAGTACTGCAACTCCTGCTTTTTTTCTCCCTATTAGTTGCATGAAATATCTTTTTCCATTCCTTCACTTTTACTCTGTGTATGTCTTTGGGTTTAAAGTGAGTCTCTTGTAGGCAGTGTATACATGGGTCTTGTTTTTTTATCCATTCAGTGACACTATGTCTTTTGATTGGTGCATTCAGTCCATTTACATTTAGGGTGATTATTGAAAGGTATGTACTTATTGCCATTGCAGGCTATAGATTCGTGGTTACCAAAGGTTCAAGGTTAACGTCCTTACTATCTAAGAGTCTAACTGAACTCACTTAATATACTGTTACAAACAGAATCTAAAGGTTCTTTTCTTTTTCTCCTCCTTTTTCTTTCCTCTTCCATTCTTTATATATTAGGTATCACATTCTGTACTCTTTGTCTATCCCTTGATTGACTTTGGGGATAGTTAATTTAATTTTGCATTTGCTTCGTAATTAGCCATTATACTTTCTTTACTGTGGTTTTATTACCTCTGGTGGCAGCTATTAAACTTTTGGAACACTTCCATCTATAGCAGTCCCTCCAAAATACACTGTAGAGATGGTTTATGGGAGGTAAATTCTCTCAGCTTTTTCTTATCTGGAAATTGTTTAATCCCTCTTTCAAATTTAAAAGATAATATTGCCAGATAAAGTAATCTTGGTTCAAGGCCCTTCTGCTTCATTGCATTAAATACATCATGCCACTCCCTTCTGGCCTGTAAGGTTTCTGCTGAGAAGTCTGATGTTAGCCTGATGGGCTTTCCTTTGTATGTGATCTTATTTCTCTCTCTGGCTGCTTTTAGCAGTCTGTCCTTATCCTTGATCTTTGCCATTTTAATTACTATATGTCTTGGTGTAATTACTATATGTCTTGGGTCCCTTGTGTTGGGAGATCTGTGGATCTCCATGGCCTGACAGACTATCTGCTTCCCCAGATTGCGAAAGTTTTCAGCAATTACATCCTCAAAGACACTCTCTATCCCTTTTTCTCTCTCTTCTTCTTCTGGTACCCCTATAATGCGAATATTGTTCTTTTTGGATGGGTCCCACTGTTCTCTCAACATTCCTTCATTCTTAGAGATCCTTTTTTCTCTCTGTGCCTCAGCTTCTTTGTATTCCTCTTCTCTAGTTTCTATCTCATTTATCGTCTCCTCCACTGTATCCAATATGCTTTTAATACCCTCCATTGTGCTCTTCAATAATTGGATCTCCTATCAGAATTCATTCCTGAGTTCTTGAATATCTTTCCATACATCATGAGCATGTTAATGATTTTTATTTTGAACTCCCTCTCAGGAAGATTCATGAGGTCAATGTCATCTTTCTCAGGAGTTGTATTAATAATTTTACTCTGAACCAGTCTCTTTTTTCTATTTCATATTTGTATATGTCACCCTCTAGTGTCCAGAAGCTCTACTCTCTGGAGCTTATCAGCCCCTGAAGCAATGTCAGGGCTCACAGGGGAGTGGTATTGGTGCCTGGGGGGAGGAAAGAGCCATTTCCTGCTTCCCAGCTGCTATGCCTGTCTCCACTGCCTGAACACATGGGCCGAGCAAAGAGCCTCTGTGCTTTGCGTTTGTAGTTACTGTAGGCATATCTTCCCTCTGCCTGGCCTAATGCCAGGGTAGGTTTGCAAGTCAGGTGGGGCTGGCCAGGAGAAAGGCCTAGTAGGCTGCCTATCACAGAGAGGGTCCTTGGAGGTGTGTAGCCAGCCAAGGAGCTGGAGCACCTGAAGATAGTGAAAGCTCCCAACCTGCTGGGCAGAGTGCACCCAGACAATTTTGTCTACCTGTCCTTTCTCTTGAGCAGTAAGCTCTGTTCAGTCCTTGCCCCTTTAGGAGCCCTCTTGCTAAGGGCTTCCTTGTCAGGAAGCCTCTCAGACTTCCCACCTTTCTTTTGTCCCAGAGCAGCCGGATATGGATCCCTGCAGCTGGAATCTCAGTCTCTCCAGGAATTCTGTCTGTCTTAGCTTTCCAATCCCCTAATCATGAGAGTATCATGAAAGCACCATGAAATATAGGTTTGTGTTCCCAGAGCAGATCTCTGGAGCTAGGTATTCAGCAGTCCCAGGCCTCTACTCCCTCCCTGCTCTGTTTCTCTTCCACCCGTGAGCTGTGGTGGGGGAAGGGCTTGGATCCCTTGGGGCCACAGCTTTGGTAAGTTACCCTGTTCTGTGAGGTCTGCTCTTTTCTCTAGGTGTATGCAGTTTGGGGCAGCCCTCTTTCCTATTGCTTTTTCAAGATTAGTTGTATTAATTATATTTTCGTCTTATATGCTATTTTAGGAGGAAGCTTCTGTCCCACCTCTCACACCGCCATCTTTAATCCCTCTCCTACTGAGTTCCTGTTAACTTGATAGCAGTTCCTGGAAAAGACTGAAAGACTTTTGAGGGGTGCTTTTGGGGAAGAAAATTCTTTATAGCCCGAGACTATCACACCCTTTTCAGGAAGTCTACGTTCTTAGCCCCTGCCCACTGAATGCCTGAGCACTCCCCAGTCTTGGAAACAACCCCAAACACCCCCATGCATTTCCACATGCCCCTCAGAGGGACAGTGATGCTCTTGTTGTAAGCATCTGAGACAAAAGACCATTTTCTAATCAGAATGACAAAGGGAGAGGGGCAAATGTTTCTCCAGGGGTGGTTTTAGAGAAGGACATTTGGAACGTTCATAAAGGTGTTAGGAGAAAAGTTGCCTGTGACTCCAAGTCCCTCCTTCCCACAAACCTGTTTCAAAGTCACCCATGTCTCTCACCCATGCATACAAATGCACACCTGCCTTGATTTCTGTGATAGGGTATACTGCAAGGGTGCAACCAGATGTGTGCAGGATACCTCTTCCAGCCGGACAAGCAGTATGACGTCTCCTACGACACTGGGGACAAGGCAATTCAGTGTGGCCGCCACGTGGACATTTTCAAGTTCTGGCTGATGTGGAAGGCAAAGGTATGAAGGAAGGAACCTAGGACATAGAGCAGAAATGTAATTGCACAGGCTGACTGGCAACAGAGAGGGAAAGATTTATCACAGATAATTCAGGATTTGTGTAATCAATATCAAGACAGTTGAGTTAACAGAATTTTCCTGGTCTGCAAATGAAATCACTTTATCCCTTATTTCAAATTCTCCTTCCTTCCATTTAGTCTCCTCAGTTTGAATTAGCATGAAGGTATCTTACAACTTTCTCTTAAAACAACCAAAAAGTATGCTAAGATAAGGACTTCTACAGCAATCCTTTAGGGATGCTGAAATTATTTAGTGCAGATGTAGAGAAAAATGATGAAATTACTGCATTATTCTGTGCAGAACCCTGAATTCCTTTATGAGGCCTCAAATCATGAGATATATGTGACAGTTTTAAGTTCCATTTAAATGATGGCTTTCCCATTATGTGTACTTAACACACTATTCTCAAAAATGTAACTTTATTCTGAGAAATCCTGTATCTGAAGAATGCTATGTCTGCATTCATCTATCTTTTGGGTTGCATTTCTATGTCTAAACTAGAAAAAAATGAAACTATTGGAACTTCCCCCCAAGATTTGGATGAGGGAGAGGATTACCACTTGACTATTTGTTTTAAGAGTATTTTTATTTTTATTCAATCAAGTAAAGGTGGTTTTGATTTCACAGTTTGATATTACAACTGTTTTATTTACCTACTGTAAATTAATTTTAATAATTTTCATGTTTAAGATTGTGTCTACTAATACCAAAAAAGCAAGGTTTTCCAGCAAAACATCTAGTCAAATGTTTCTTCTGTAGGAATAATTTGATGGATTATTCTTTTTCCTCATTAAGTCATTTTATCTTAATGTACAAATAGTCTGAATTTGGTTTCTGCCACAAAATAATCATAGGTATTTTAAGCATGTAAATAGCCATAAATTTCCATATGACAAAGAGCTCTATCATTTAGAAATATACTGACCACGTGGCTTGTCTCAGTAATGTGTGTCTTTGTTTTGCATAACCATAACCTCTTGAACTGTCTGCCAGGAGCTTGGCTCCTGGTGAATTAGTTGCTGAGGTGGGATCCTGGTGCAGGCGTTTCCGAAGTGGAAAGTACGCTCAGCAGGGTGTACACTCAGCAGTGACCATACACAAGCAGTGCCCTGCTTGGAGAGGCTCATGCTCTGCCGGTGTTGGGCTTCGCCCAGGTGTGTTAGCAGTCCATAGGCCAGCCTTGTGCACCTGCTCTCCTTGTTAACACCAGCCCCCTCAACAACCCATACTGCTGCTACTAATCAGCCATGCTGGCTTTTGAAACTCACGCTCAACCAGTTGGTCAATAACTGGAGCCAACAATCTCAGGGCATGTACTGAGACAAATAGCTTCCCCAACTGCCTGCCTTCCTGTCACCAAAAAGGGACACTACTGTGTTATGTGGAAGGTAGCCTGCCTGGAAGTATGGGGATATGCTTGATTAGGACCTATTGCCAGGGAAGGTAGGTTCTAAAGTAGTATTTTTCACTGTAGTAAAGAACCCATTATTTTGTTTTTTAAATTTCTCATAGACCAATACAATAAAGACAAATTGTTAGAAAAATGAAGTAAACCTTAAAAAGTACAAATACCAGTTTTTGAATCAGTAGACATCAAATTACTGTGTCAAATTGCTATTAAGATTTCTTACTACTTAACCTCAATTTCTATACTCATCTTATCATGAACTAGTTACAGTCTGTGGACTGGCCTCAGCCCATAGATGACACTGCTAGTAGCACTACCCTAAAGCAAACCAGAAATAGGCTGCAGGTCCAGCTGTGAATAACTAGCAGGAAGCTAAAAGCCCTATTAAGAATAACTGCCCAGAGACTCAAGTGTCTTCAAAAGACAGTAGGCATTTTGTTGCATACAGAGCTGTGAAGAAGCCGTAGACATTTAATTAGATGACTCTTCATAATCATCTCCAAGAATACTCTGAAGTGTTTTTCCAATAGACAAGGACAACATAGCCTTCTCAAATGCCCATCACATTATGTTTTCTTTCCTTAAACAGGGCACAGTGGGATTTGAAAATCAGATCAACAAATGCTTGGAACTGGCTGAATACCTCCATGCCAAGATTAAAAACAGAGATGAATTTGAGATGGTTTTTGATGGTGAGGTAAGCTGTCACCATGGACTAGATGCACATCATTTCCAGAAAATCTATTGCAGGGAGTTCCTGAAGGCTTATTTCCGCACACTGCCAGGAGCTGCTTCTGAGTTCCCATTTGTATACACTTTTCATTTAATTCCCTCTGTGTCCGTGAACTTTTCTTCTGGTAGCACTGGGATGACTTTTCTCCTTCTCTTCTAAAATGGTGTAGCTCTTGGTCGGCCCTTTGCAGTCAAGAGGTCTTTCTTTGGCAGGTCTGAATCCTTTATCATTCTTAGATTGTGTTGAACTCCATGATAGAGTACTTCTCAGTTTCAAGAAGCTTACAGGATGGATAAATCCTCATCTCTCAAGACTGGTTCTAAAATGGGGTTCTACTTTACCTACATTCATTATGAGGAGTTAGGAGGATAAAATTGTCTCTGCCCTGTGTTCATGTCTACATAGCACACTATAAAGGACTTGTTATTCCAGTATTGACTGAGTGCTCGCTTTGTGCCTGGAGCTGGATTATGTAAGCAGCAACCAAAGCAGATACTGTCTCTGCCCCAAAAGGATTTTTAAAAATTTGGAATAGGAGCCACCATTGAAAAAAAGAAAATTCATTCATAACCCAGTATAATATGACACCTACATTCAACTTAACTCCATTTATCAAGCAACCTAAACTATGAGGAACACACTGGAGAGTCACTAAAAAGAGGAAGAAAGGGCCCAGAGCAGTCCAAACCAACAATACAGCACTCATGCCTCTGGGACCTCACTCTGATCATTTACACTATTTTAAACATTCTGTCAGCAGATTAAAGACTAAGGTAATGTCTTAGGTCGGTTAGAGGCAGGCACAGTTGTGGCAAACAACAACTAGGAGGGAAACGGCAAACTGCATATCAAGACTACAGAACTCTCAACGGGTAGGAGTCCTCAGGGCAGCAGCACTAAGCAGCTCTACGCATCTCAGTGAGCCCTGTCTTATGGTTTATGACCAGTGTTCATTATGATGATCCTGAGTCATCATGAGAAGATTCAGTATCAATATAATAAACTCATAAATTATTTAGTATCAATAAAATAAACTGTTTTGAGGATCTTCTATTGTGAGACACTACAAAATGGCAAGATAGATAATACTCTCTTTTTTTATTACCCAAATGTATTTTTTTTAACATTTCATGGTTAAAGGTGGTGACTTTAGTCTTGTGGAAAACTGGTTATGGGAAACAGCTCTCTTGCCAGATATTATTGCACAGATCAGGCATTGTTCTCCCTAGTACATGTGGATTTGGGAATAGCTCTCTCTCAAGTTCTCATAAATTTCTGGGTTGTTTTTTTTTTTTGTATGTTTGCTTGTTTGTGAAAATCTCTGCAGCCTGAACATACAAACGTCTGTTTCTGGTATATTCCACAAAGCCTCAGGGGCATTCCAGATAGCCCTGAGCGACGGGAAAAACTACACAGGGTATGGAATCTCTCCTTGTTTCATTTAACTCTCTACAATTTCTTCTGTTGGTCAGAATGTCCTCACTTTAATGTGCCTTTCTAATGGGGGAGAAATAAATAAAGACTGGGTGGTGGGAGCTATCTTGTTACATTCTTCTTGGGTCTGGGTTGTTCCTTTGCTGCAGTTCAGATACAATGAGAAGCTCTAAAGAATGTTTCCCTGTCTCAGGCTGCTGTTCCTTATTAAAGGGGCTGTATGCATGGTAATTAAATAATACACATATTCCAAGGAGCTTCCATATTAAATTGTGTCTGTTAAAATATCTTTTACTAAGTTCAACTTTACTCTAATGCTGATTCATGCTAGTTGTTGATTCCTATATCTTGTGTATATATTATTTATAGTCATTGGTATCACATTTAATTTCTAGAATATTTCATACATCTAACCATTCAACAAATATTTGTTGAGCACAGTCTATCTGCCAGGCAGTATCCTGGGCTCTGGATTTTACAGAAGCTTTAATTTGTGTTGTTGCCCATAGAGTTGTTTTTGCTTTTGATTTTATTGTCATTATTTTATGACTGACTTTCAAAGTTCAGTCACACAGTACTTTTCAAGGGAAATTTTGATTGGGTAGACTTAAATAGTCATTAGATATTAGCCACTGAAGAAACTTGGATATAAACTATTTCTTTGTTTTTATGTCACTGTAAACACAAATAGTAAAAAGCAAATTGCTCTTTTTTCCAACTAAGAAATGGGTTGCATTGTGAAAAAAGAGAGTGGTGTTAATATCCATCTTGAGTTTTGCTTTATGTTTTTCATCACAAGGTGGCCCCCAAAATCAAAGCCCTGATGATGGAGTCAGGCACGACCATGGTTGGCTACCAGCCTCAGGGGGACAAGGCCAACTTCTTCCGGATGGTCATCTCGAACCCAGCTGCCGCACAGTCTGACATTGACTTCCTCATTGAGGAGATAGAAAGGCTGGGCCAGGATCTGTAATCGCCCTCCGCAGAACATGAGTTTATGGGAATTCCTTTTCCCCTCTGGCACCCTAGAACGAACCCCTGTAAGTTGCTGAAACACATGGGCCTTTTCATTGAGGAAAAGTATAGTATCCTGAAGAATATTGTTTAAACCCTACCTAAGCTTGTTATAGTTAGTAGGAAATAATGTTCTTTTTGAAAAGTTGCACATTAAAAACACAGTATATGTGTGCAGTTATATATACCTCTCTATATATGTATGTGTAGTGCGTGTGGCTTCATGATAGATCACAGCATGTCTCCTGCTCCCGGATAATTAACTTCACCTCCAGCAGTTACTGAGGGTCCAGATGTGCTGCAAACCAGCTTGCCCAGCAAACCCTCAGGAAAGATGTTTTTCAAAATGTTGTGCTGTAGGGACCAAGGGCGGGGTTTGACCTCATTGTCGGGGCTTCTCTCCCTCCTGAGGTGATGGGTGGGTGAGAGACAGCATGAGATGACAAGAGTGACACCCTCCCCATTAGTGTACTGTTAGGGGAAAATGGTAGCAGAGTCATTGTTACAGGTGTGCTATTGCTGTATTTTTGGAGGTTAATTTGTGTAGATTGTGTATATTTCTGTTGTCTGACATGTGTCATGATCTCAATGACTGTTTAATTGTAGGTAAATGAAATATTTGCCTATTTATATTCAGAGATTTACCATGTTAAAGAGGTGTCTTGTATTTTCTTCCCATTTGTAATGTATCTTATTTATATATTAAAGCAGTTTATGGTATTTTCATGCATTTGTGAGCCAAAGAGAAATGATAAATATTAGTGAGACTTGTATTTATATTAGAGTGCCCTTAAAATAATGACTTAAGCATAAGAGAATTTTGTACATAGACCCTTACATATGGAAATCCCATTACCTAAATAGCATCTGCTCTTCTGTTACCCTCTCTGTCTGGCTGTATGTGTAGGGTTCTCAATGCTTTTCTAGCAACTGTTGGATAGTAACCAGATTTCTTGTAATTTTGTAGTAGTTCATGACCAATCTCTGTGACTTGCTTAGCTCAAACCTAAGGCAACATTTCTGAAGACCTTCATCTCAGATAAATTGACCAGGCTCACAACTGTTTTTGAAGAAAGGAAATTCACACTGTGCATTTTAGAGTATGCAAGAATATAAATAAATAAAAATATTCTCCATGGAGAATTTGAACAAAACTTTCTTCTGGTTTGTGTTTCACACAGAGATTTCCAATCATAGTTACTTGGATCACCATAGCCCATTCTTTTCACTAGGTGACTTTAGGTGATTCTCAGTACTCTTATTGAACTAGGACCCAACCCACTGTCATAGGTTCCTGGCCCCCTAATCTGTAAAATCATTATGACTGTAATTAAATAAAATTTGCAATTCAAGCCTGGAGAAAGGAAAGCTATCCTTGTTTCACATTTTTCTGTTTGCATCTTGGAGTTCTGTTCATGCAGTCAGTCAACAACTGTTTTCTTCCTCTGTAGCAACTGTTCCAGGCACTGGAATGACAGTGGTGTGCACAACAGACAAGTTTTCCATCTAGTGGGGTCCTATATCAGTTGGTGTCTGTGGTATCTGAATACCTTGAAGATCACAGAATCACTCCTTTCTGCATTTATGTTGTACAGTGGGTTTGATTCACTTTCTCAGGAAATATGCTCTGTTACTGGATCATGAGAGCCCATTTGCTATGATATTCTATTAACTGTAAGAATACTATCTTAACCACTTGGAATACAAGGAGTTCCCTATTCAGTACCTGTAGGGATTAGATAAGAGGCATTTGTAATTAGCATACTGTTTGTGTATCTGTGGTTGTGAACAAACTGGGCTCCGTAGAGAGATGATCATAAAGTACTTTATTCTTTCTCCCACCATCCCTTCAAATCCCCTTTGTGGGGTGATTCTTTCCACACCCCTATTTGCATTCAGGCCAATCCCATAGCTTTTCTGGCCTCTGGGTTGTAATAAGGGTCTCATTTTAGCAGCTAAATGTCTAGCCTAGCGTAGTAAGCAAGACTTCAGATTTTTATACAATACAGTTTCCCCTCTCCCTAGATCAGGCTGCAGTCCTCCAGCGGCAGCGGCTGGTGGGGACTGGGTCCGCTTCCTTTTTATTCTTGCAATTCATCTCTACTCCCCAAGCTCTGATTCCCCACCAGGGTCAGGACTCAGGGGAGAGGGGGCTAAAGTAAAAAAGCCACAATTTTAGGTAGCTGTAAAATTGTCATCTGGCATCAGGGCCCCTGGTCCATGAGATTTTTTTCCTCTAGGGATGCTGTTTGGGGAGGAAATGGGGATTTTTTTTTATTAACATAAAATTAAGATACAGTGAAATTCACTCTTTCAAGTACACTGTGTATGCTGTTCTGTGAGTTCTGACAAATCCATTCAGTCATGTAACCTCCACCACAATCAAGATCTAGAGTAGTTCTATCATGCCAATAAATGCCCCCCATCCCACAAGTCCTGGCAACCTGATTTGTTTTCTTTCCCTAGAGTCTTGCTTTTCCCATCACATAAATGCAGTCTTGCTGTGTGGCCCTTTCAGTCTGACTTCTTTCATGTGACACAATGCATTTGAGATTCATCCAAGATTCATCCACGTTTTTGTATCAGTTGTTCCTTGAGTTACTGTGCAGTATTCCACGTGTATGGAGGTACCAGCTTGTTTCTGCAATTACTTCATAGAAGGAAATCTGGCTTGTTTGCAGTTTGAGGCAATTAAAACCATAGTATGCAGATTTTTCTGTGAACATAGGTTTTCATATAACTTGGGTAAATAAATACCTAGGTGTGGGATTGCCAGATCATATGGTAAGAGTATGTTTAGCTTCATAAGAAATTGCTAAACCGTTTTTAAAGTGGCTGTACCATTTTGGATTTTCCCCAACAGTGTACAGATTTTCCAGTAGTTCTATATTCTTGATACTTGATATTGTCAATTTTTAAAAAATTTTAACCATTCTTTTTTTGACTACAGTTTTATTGATGTATATATATATAGCTCAATATAATTCACTCATTTAAAGCATACAGTTCTACAATTCCCTGGCTTGTGGTATATTCACAGAGCTGTCCATCATTACTGCAGTTTTGTAACATTTTCATCACCCTAAAAAGAGACCTAACACCCATTAGCAGTCACTCCTCATTCCCACACATACACCCCCTCCAGCCCCTGGAAACCACTAATCTACTTTCTGTCTTTAGGTCTGTCTTTTCTAGACACTTAATATAAGTGGAATCACACAACATGTGGTCTTTTATGACTGGCTTTCCCTTAGCATGTTTTCAAGGTTCACCCATGCTATAGCATTTATCAGTACTTCATTCCTTTTATTGATGAATATTACTACTTTGTTTGGATATACTAATTTCATTTATCCATCTGTCAGTTAATAGACGTTATGATTGTTTCTACTTTTTGCCTATTGTAAACAATACTGCTGTGAACATATGTGTACAAGTTTTTATACAGATGCACATTTTCATTCTAATGTTAGTATCTTGCTGTGGTTTTGATTTGCTGTTTCATGAAGCACCTCTGAAGGATCCCATTGGGGTCTTTCCACCTCATTGCCCATGAGGCAGTCAAGGTCTCTCCTCCTGAAATCACTTAGGACTCAGAACCTCAGCCTCGGCCCTGAGCAATCTGTCCTGTCCAAACCTTATATTGGGATCCCTGACTCCAGGCAGTACTCTTGGGTGGAGTCCCTTTTATTTCAAATAAATTATATGTGGATTATATAAAGAGGCTTTGTTAAAAAACATACATGTATAGGGTAAAGAATGACAATAATATAATACTGGAGTACCCACTCTCAGGCAAAGAAATAGAACACTATCAGTACCACAGAGGTCTCCAACCCATCCTGAACTTTTCCTAATGATCACTGTACTGAATTTTGTGTTGATCAACAACTCTTGTTTTTCTGTATAGTTTTATCACAAATATATGAATCTTAACTGTTTACTTTCACCTGGTTTTGCTTTTATAGAAATAGAATAACGAAGAATACATATACATCCATGGCATGTCTTCATATTCAATATCATGATTTTGCAGGCCCAGAGCTAACCCATAGGCAAATTTATGCAGTTAAAAAAATTTTAAAGGTACCCCTTCCTTCAAAGACAGGCATCCCTGTGCCAGTGTGTACAGCTTGGCATGTGGAGCATGTGGTAGATTTTAGTGCCTGTGGAACTCACTGCCACGACCTGCAAGAATAGCCTTGCTATGTGATAGCCTCATGTTTTTGAGATTTGCCTTTGATCATGGTTCCAGCCAGAATTCATTCACTTTTATGGCTGAAATGCTTTCTTGTTGTCTGAATTTACTTTGGTTGATTCAGCTATCCTATTGGGGTGTGTATGTAAGTTTTTTCCAGTTTTTTGCCTTTAGGGCCAATGTTGTTATGAGAATTCTTGTGCTTGTTTCCTGGTACACACATGCAAAAAATTTTCAAAGGTTTATACCTAGAAGGAAAATTGCTGGGTCCTAGAGTAGTTGTTCACATTTTTGAGTAGAGCAGAGAGGTCCTACTAAGTTCACTTCAGCCAGTAGTATACATGTTCCCTAACTTCACCATCTCTTAGCCTAAAATTTTTGCCACTTTGGTGAGTATGAAATAATATATCATTTCAATTTTAACTTTTCTTTCCCTGATTAAAAATGAGGCATCTTTTCATAATTTTATGAACTGTTTGTGTTCTCTCTTCTATGAAATGCCTAAATCATGCCCTTTGTCCAATTTTCAATTGAGTTGTTGGTCTTTTTCTTATGATACTTAGAAATTCTTTATATCTTCTAAGTGCTAATTATTTTTTATTATATGTTTGACAAATATCTTCTAATTAGGGGCTTGCCTTTTCATTTGAGTAATGCTCTTTTTTGAAAATATAAATTAATGTAGTAGAATTTATCAGTATTTGTCTTACGATTTCTGCTTTTATTTAATGTCTTTCTTACAAAATTCTTTCCAATCCCAAAGTCTTAAAGATATTCTCATATGTTTCTTGGCTTCTAGGTTTCCTGGTTTTACTCCTTTCCTATTAAGTCTATTTAATTCATCTTGAATTGATTTTTTGTTTTGGCTCCTCTTTGAGAGTGAAAAGGCAGTTATTAGCCCTTTACTCTGCCACGTAAATCAGAGAATCAGTTCATCAAGCTCCTGATGCTACAGGGAATGTTCTCACACTCCCCATTCAGTTTTGTTTCCTCTAGGTTTTTTTGTAGCTGCTCTTCATTGGATTAAAGAAGTTTCTTTTTATCCCTAGTTTGCTAAGAGTTTCTATAATAAATGAACCTTTAATTAATGTAATATTATTCATAAACTGTTTAAGTTTTCCATGTCTTCCTGAGTCAGCTTTGCAAGTTATATTTTTTCAGGAATTTATACACATTTTCAAGTTTTCAGATTTATTGACACAAAGTTTTTCATAATTGTCCTCTTATTTTTAAAAAATCTGTTGCATCTGTAGTTACATTCTCCATTTTTTTTCTTACTAGTGAAAATTTTTGTCTTCTTTCTTTTTTTATTGATTAATCTCAGCAGAAGTGTACCAGTTTTGTTAAGCTATTCAGAAGATGTTTGCTTTGGTCAATTCTCTGAATTGCATGATTGCTTTTTACCTCATTAATTTCTGATTCTGTGTTTAGTATTTCCTTCTACTTTTTTTTCTCTTTCTTTTTTCAGTCTTTTCTGCTCTTCTTTTTTCTGACTTCCCAAGTTCTATGCTTAGGTCATTAATTTGGAGCTTTTCATCTTTTCTAATGGAGGTATCTACAAATATATATTTCCCTACAAACATCCCTTTAGCTATGTACTACACATTTTGACCCAGAATATTGTGTTATTTGATTCTAAATAGAATAAATAGAGTGGAGTTGTCGATGTCTCCTTGTAGTTTAGTTTTGCTCTGTTATTAGGTATTAACAGGTTTATACTTGTCATATCTTTATGGTGATTTAAAACTTTTATAATTATGCAGTGGCTCTCTTTGCCTTCTTTTCTATTTTGTCTGGTATTAATATAGCTATGTGACACTTCTTTAGTTTTGCTGAATATATAATTTCTCCTCTTTGAATTATAATATTTCTGTATCCTTATGTTTTAGGTGTGTCTCATCTAAATGGTTGTATTTTATCTTTCCCAACTAGCCATCTTTCTCTTTTAACTAAAGG